TGGGGTAGTATAATCCCTATAAAACCCCTATATTATCAAAAAGGTGAACCTTTAGTTCCCCATGACCTAAACTCTATACTAGGATGCCCAGTGGTACCCTTATTCCCTGCGTGTAGTCCTAGGTTCCTCATAAAGGTACCCAACACCAAAAGGAAGCCCTTGTTATTCCTAGGTTACCCGACAAGTAGGAATTCGAGGCTTGCAAGGACTCACGAGCCACCTAGGGCCGGGCCACCAACACTAGGGTTTAAGACCCCTAAAAAAGCCAAACGGCTCAGGGTTTAAGGTTTAGGGTTTAAGGTTCAGGGTTTAAGGTCTTAAGGTTTTAGGTTTTAGGGTTTAGGGTTTAAAGTTTAGGGTTTAAGGCTGTAAGGTTTAGGGTTTAAGGTTTTGGGTTTAAGGTTTTAGGGTTTTAAGGTTTAGGGTTTTAAGGTTTAGGGTTTAGGGTTTAAGGTTTAGGGGTTTACGGTTTAGGGTTAAAGGTTTTAAGGTTTAGGGTTAAAGGTTTAGGGTTGAAGGTTTAGGGTTTAGGGAAACCCGAAACCCTAAACCAGAAGCGGCCCTAGGCGACTGAGGACTGGAGCAGGAGTAGTGCCTAATTGCCCGAACCATGTGCCCGAAACCCAACACTCTGAGCCTTACAGTTAAGGAAGGTTTCTGTGGCTTTTGTATTTGAGATCCCATTCCTGAGGACCAGGATATGTCCATGGCGACTTGCTTTGAGTGTCTGATGATCTTAAACTGAAGACGGGCTGGACACGTCTTGAAGTTAAAGTGTTTCTTTTTGGCGGTCTTGCATTATTGGGGAATCAAGTACAAAATCTTTACAAGCCAATTCTCAACCTAAAACCCCAGCACACTGAAGCTTTGGAAGCGTACTGCCCCACCCCCGATAGGAGGCTCTACACAACGTAGGCATTGGGGTCTGAGTAGTGCACTATACTCTTGCTTAGAGCTCCTTAGTACAGCCGTACTAGTTCAAAAGAACGGATTCATAAGGCTACATGCTAAGTTAACCCTAGCTGTGCCGCGGGCCTGGGTACTGGAGCTTTGCCAGAACCTGCAACTGCACACCCCAAGTACTAAATCCAAACCTCCTGGAGAAAAGAAGACATAAATATCGACGTTGAGATTCTACAAGGTGCTCAATGGCACCCTTCTTTTCTTGACTGTTAACCTAGGACCTAAGCCTCAAAACAGCCCAAAAACCTGATTTGACTGATACAGTGTGTCCTTTGGGCCCAGAAGCCTTAAAATGAGAGTCTTAGGGCTTCAGGTTACTGTATGGGGGCAGCACCCAGTACATCAACCTAATTCTCGAAAGCGCGCCGAAGAGGTCTGTGCAAGGGGAGATCATCGTGAAGAAGGGCACCCGTGGCGTGGTGAGGCCTTGACTAGGTATAGATTTGGGATAAGTGTTAATTTCCCTTCTTGCTTACTCTAGAGCCAATTTTGAAGAATTCTGGGGACTGTTGGAATAGACACCTAGTAGACGATGATTTCTCTGCAGGTCTGTACCGTTTTATGTGTTGCCTCCACCAAAGTGGCCAGATGTTTCTCTGCAGTCGGATTGCATTCTGTTAGCGCTGCACCCTAACCTCTTAACAAACTATCAACGGAAGCCTACACCCCTAAACCCCAACCCCTAAACACTAATGCCTACACCCTAGAATTTCTGGGCAGGGCTCGATCCTACAGATCCTACAGTTTAGGCTGATGGCCCCCCGGCAAGGCTTTCGGATTTAGGTTCGTTTGTTTGTTCCTTATTTGGATTATGTTTTTCTTTTGTAATTTTATCTCCAACACATTTTTTTGTTTTTGCTTCTGGTTACTCTTGCTGTTTGGGCTTGCTCCATAGTTGGACAGTTGGACGTTCTTCCCATCTCCAACACTTAATGTTGTAGGTTTTATTTGTTTGCCCAATGGATGTCCACAAAACATGTGTTTGTTTGTGTTGTTGATGATGGCCTTCCAAGACGAGTAGAGGCCTGGGTTGGTTTTGCAACCACACCTTGAAGCCACCAACTACTATGACTAGACATAGAACCCTAAAATAGTGGGATCCGTATAGCCCTGCTAAAGACCAGGGTTTCTCCATCAGGTTCCTTCATGAGTAAACTGTGTCGTATATCCCTTGTAGACCCCCCAAAGGCCAAGGAGCCCCAACCCCGAATCCTAGAGCCTAAAACTCACACCCCTGAAACCCTCGGAGGAACTCTGCAGTAACCTCCATGGTGAGTCTTGTAGACCTATAGGGTTTAGGGTCTTAACTGTTAAGCATTCCTTTTTTTGAGGAATCTGCAGAATCCCTCGACAGCCAGGGGCCCAAGCGAGACAGATCCGCAGAATCGGGTGTCCGTTGCCTTCGAGAAGCGTGAGAAGGCTGCGGGACTGTTTAGGATTTAGGGTTTGGCGTTTAGGGCTTCAGGTTACAGTAGAGTTTAGGGAACCCTAAAGCCTTGCAACCCTATTCCCGTGAACCCAAAACCCACAACCCTAGGCCCTAATTTTTGGGCTTAGGCTTCAGGTTCGAGGAATTAGAGTTTTTGGGTTTTGGGGATTAGGGTTTAGGGTTGAGGGATTAGGATATTGAGGGTTTAGAAGACAACTGGCTCGACCAGGTTCGGGCTCAGATCTGCGTTCCAGTTCCCAGAGACTCCAATATCTCTGAATTAGAGACTACACTGTAGATTATAGTAGGATCCCTGATATGAAATAACGTATATTCTTCATTCAGGGGTATTGAAGTCTCTGGGTCAAAGAGTCCTTCAAGGGTACCTTTAAGCGTTCTGTAAGGGTACCCTAGGTTTTCACTGTAAGGTTCCGGGTTTCGGATAACGGATATTAGCCTAGACTTTAAACCCTAAACTAGGCTTTAGGGTTTAGGGTTGTTTGCTGTGCAGGGTCGGGCTTAGGAACCCAGGCTTCGATTTGTTCGGTTCAGAGGGCATTCGGCTGAGGGCTTGGGTAAGCATGTCCATATCCAGGCTGGGGGTGGTTCAAATTTAGTAAGGGCGCGAGCCCGGGTGCCTGCCCAAGGCTACCCGGCAGGCCAGTCAAGTAACAGCCAGCGGCATCCCATATGTTGGGATATGACAAAGCTTTTGATTGTGTGCTATTTTTTTGGTTAGCACAACCGTATGGATTGGAACAGTTTTTTTTTTACACATCAGTTTTTTTGTTTCATCCACATATGGTTTGTGGCTGCTGGAGCTATGTGACAGTTGAAGTTGCGAGCATGATCAAGCATGTTGCCCTGCTTCGAACTCATGCTTGTGTGAGCATGCATGATGTGATTGGTTGGTTGTTTTGCAACGTCATGATTGTCGTCGTGCATTGACCAACTTGGTTCGTTGAGCTTGCGTGTGATGACTGGTTGAACATTTTGGTATGCCATGATCTGCACTGCACATGGACCAACTTGATTTGTTGAGCATGCATGCGATGGTTGGTTGATTGGTTGTTGCAGTGCAATCATGATGCTTGCTGCGCTTAGGCAATCTTGATGGTTGTCTGGAGAGTTTCTGATGGTTGCAGTGCATGGACAGGGCATGGACCATAGACTGTGCATGCATGCGATAACTAAACGGTTGTCTTGAAGCTGCATCGCAATATCATGATGTTGACATGCATGGACCACTGTTCTTGCGTATTTGATGTGCTTGCGTTGCAGTGTCTTGCCGTGCGGGAAGCAGTGTGCAGAGCATGTTTTCGAGCTACTGCATTTCCAAATCTCCAAGCCTTGGATGCTCGAGCCGTGATTGTAATAGTGTTAATCACCAGAAGTCGCCTTCCTCAGCTGCCAGCTGCCATGCAGAAAGCCTAGACCGATGTGCAGAAAGCCGAAGCTCGGAGCAACGAAAATTCGATATCACAGAACACGACGACTTCATCCAAATCCATAGCCTCCATGAAGACGGCCAAGAACAACGAACAATCGATATCACCGACAACGACAACTCCAGTCAGGAAGCACAATTCAAAGGTCGTCATTGCCACTCCGCCGACAAGAACGCAGGTGACAACGCCGAAGGCACCCCCGAAGAGAAAGCGGCCGAGTCTGAGTATGGTGGAGGAAATAGAGAGTCCATTGCGAGCATTTCCAAAGTTAAAGAACTGATGATGTGTTTTGCTGGTTCACTCTGTACAGTCGACCGACGACACGCAACCAGATGCTGATGATGTGAGCTAAAGACCAGAAAGCCTGGTTTCCTGTTGATGCAGCTACTAAGTTGCATTGCTTCGCATTCTGCATGACAGTTGAATTGAACAGTTGAATACTTTGCGAACATTTATCAAGGGCTCATCTGATTATTATCTTGTTCGCTGCACAAAATGTAGTAATGCTGCCATAGCCACGACAGTATTTGCGTATCAATGCTTGATAATATTATCAATAATGATGATAGCAACACGTTGCCGTCACATTGCCTCACATTGCCTGATTATTGTAACATGTTGCCTTGAGCCGTGAGACTTGAACTACATGTCAATTGCTTAAATTGTCAGTGTTGATCGAGTAGAGTTGCCCTGAATTCGTGAGTTTGTTTGCTGCATGACCAATGGCAGAAGCAACCTGTCGGCTGTTGCGGCTGGCAAAGATGATTCGTGAGCATGTTGCACATGAGAACTCTCCATACGTGTTGGCGCTGCCGGAGCCAGAGCATCTTGACGAAATGCATATTTCTGTGCAGGGGTAAGGGCAGGTAAGTGCATCGCTGGATAATGCGTTGGATGTGGGTGACTGATGTGGCTTGTTGACCTAGGTGGATTTCCTTCTTCGCGAGTCTTCATCATGGAGCACATTCAGCTTCCAAGAAGTACGGATTACAAACTTGGTCGAATCTCATACGTCAATGCCAGGACGGGTTAGCTGGTTAGCTTATGCTTGGCAGGTTGGTCGATTGAGTTCTGCTGCTGCTGTTACTGTTGTTGTTGGTAGTTGATCTAGTCGTAGTCGTCGATGCTACTTGCAGGAGAACAAAGAAAACTACTACGGGATGGAAACCGCATTCTTGAAATCAGCTGGTGGTACTTCACTGTTCTCGGTTGTGATGATGCAGACTTGGCCAAAATTTGGGCAGAATCTTAAAGCACTCATTGACCGGGAGATCAACACTAGGCTTGCGTCTGGTCAGAAGCCGTTGGAGTGTGATCACAACCAAGTACCGTGTGGAAGCTTGAAAAGATCTGCATCCGTTGCATCCTTGAAACATTCTGCTTCGGGCAGTAGCTTGCCCAGTGTGGTGAGTGAGGCTGAGGGCAACAATCGCGATGCCGATGCCGAAGTCCCTGATGTGCCTGTATCATCACCGGCGCCGGCAGACTCACAAGAGAGCCAGATTATCGTGCATGGGAAACGATTGTCTTGGAAGAGGGATCTGGCGCCACACATAGACACGTGCCACAGAGGCTTCCTTGTCAAGCGGATCGGCGACCTTGAAAAGAAACTTACGCAGTCCAAACAGGATTTGGCCAAGGCGAAGCGTGAGAACAACAAATCCACGAAACAGTTGGCTAACCTGCAGCTGCAGATCCACACCAAGGAGCAGGCAGACGAACAAGTCCTCACTGTTCAGAAAACACCGAAAGGTGTCAGGTTCACTACACGGGGATACTTGGCAATGGGGATCAGGAAGGCTTTGGCGATCACATCTGCACTAGGGTTTCCCATGTCTGCACTCGTCGATGCTTCCCGGCAGACGGTTATCCGTTGCGAGGTGTGTGTGTGTGGAGTGTTCTTGTAGCTCGTACGGGGTGTTTCCACGAGATGGTAAAGCATCGGCTACGGGCACTGGCGACAATTTACGCATGCATGAACAAGGCTGCTGCCGAGCAGAAGGGTCGTTCCGACATCACCGCTACTCATGCATTGGTTTCAGCTATTCAGCAGACGAGTGGCTCAGAGTTGCACGATGACATATCGAGATTTGGTGAGGAAAACGTGGTTTCCAGCGATTTGGGTCTGGTTCCTAGCTTCGCAGATGGTGACACACCATCCTCATCATCCTCATCCGTACCAGATACAGTGTCTAGATGGTTCTGCACGGGATCTGGTGGCGGTGTTGCGTCGGAACAACTGGAGCGAGTCTTTTGCCTGGGTGGCACTGCGTTTGCGGGTGATGCTACGAACAGTGGTATTTGGCGGCGGAACAAACTGCAGGGGTTGCTGCTGACCTCTGCATGTATGACGGACTCTGTTAGCCTGTCACACCCCGCCGAGTACATGAAGGCCTTTGCATTTCACACCACAGTGATTCTCGTGCTGCATACACTAGCTGCTAGGGGTCACACAGGTCCAATCAATGTTCATTCATGTCAGTCTATTTCTATTTCTATTGGTTGTTGTTTCTTGCCACGTAAGCCATGGGCCGTGGGCCATGCATCCATGTGAGAATCCATGTGTGTGTGTGTGTGTGTGGTGTGTGTGTGTGTGTGTGTGTGTGCTTGTATATGTAGTTCTTGATTTGCTTGCATTGTCTGGAATCCTTGAGTGCTTGAGGCTTGCAGTGGTTGATCTGCCGGCATTGATTCGGACATGGAGCTTAAGTGACATGTTTGCCAGTCTCAGTCTCATCTGAGCTGAGGTGTGACCTGCAAGTCGTGAACTCTGGCACTGCAGCCAACAATCTGGCAATCGTCATGAAGCAACTTCGGACAGCCAAATGCCCAAACTGGGAAGAGTTGGCAGACATGTTCGAGCAACTTTCATTACATTAAGTAATCTTCAGTTTGTGTTTCTGTAACTTTTTTTTGAGTGAGCCAACGTCATCTTAATGCTGCCTCTTAGGCGTGGTTTCTTGCCTCCGTGCTACATACACATTTGGTCTTTGGCAGGTGATTGCGGAACTGATCAGACAGGGATGAGGTCGTCACTTCGCACACTTCTTGACAAACCCAGGTACAGAAACCAGTGGATGTTTGAGCAGCCATGCTTGAAACACCAGTTGCACTTGATTGTCAAGGAGAGTGTCAGGTTGATTAACAAGCTTCTTGCAGCTCATGGCAGATCGTGGGGTTATTTTGGTGCTGTTGCGAAGATCTGTCACACTTGGCGTGCCCATGGTGTCAAGATCAGCAAGACATGGCAAGTGCTGATACCGAAGCCTTGGGAGTACAAGGGAGCCAGTCGTGTGCCGCCTCTTGCAGTTGCAGGGAGATGGGGATCAATTGATTGTTGCATGACCGCAAACTCTGCACTCATGTGTGTGTGTGTGTCGGTTGTGCGTGAACATGTCGTTTGTGCAGTTGTTGACAATTGTTAGGACAACGTCGTGACCACGTGACCTAGGCTCTGAGGAGTTCTTGTTGACGGGGCCTCCGGACTTTGTGGTCAGAGTTTTCATGGCTACATTTGCAACTCGAGATTACAACGACAAAGCCGCAGAAGCCAACAATCCAGAACAAGCCGTGCTAGCTGCAATCGCTGAGTGTGATGACGAGCTTGGCATGGAAGAGGCTCAGGAATACAGGCAAAAAGTCACGAAGTGGATTCGTGGTTCGCTGCAGTGTATTCAAGACAGTCTGTTTTGGTTTGTCATGGCAGCTGCGTACAAAACACGCGAACCGGTGCGGCACATGTTCGGTATACTCTCCAAGTACGGAAAGGCTGCATCGGCAAGAGTGAAGTCACCTCATTCCCAGCCATGCCCGTGCGATGATTTACCAATTGTTGATTTCGTAACAAGGCGGCTGCAACAAATCGATGCTGAGTTCATCGCGCTCCGGACAGGGGTCACAGCATGGACCAAACAAACAATAGAAAACCTGAAGGGTATGATATGCTGGAACAACGAGAACGCTGTCAGCCCTGAAGAACTGGAGGCCTTCGCACTCAAGCTGCTGTTGTTAAACCATGCATCATTTCAGCGGCGAATCGTTTCTTTGTTTTCGAAGCCACTTGTTTGCAGATCTGGACTGATTTGATGACGTTGGTTTTGTATTTGTATTTGGTTCTAGCTCTAGCTGATTAATTAACTTGTTCAGTGAAATCTGGAGTGGTACCGCGTGCGTGGCAGTGCAGTGCAACGGGATGTGTGTTACGAAGTTGAAGCAAATGCTGTCCGAGGTGGCCATTTCGTTTGTTCTGGTTCCTCAAAGGTGAGCCCACACAAGCTTGTGATGTGCGCCGAGGTGGGGCCGTCAACACACCATGCAAAACAATCCTGATGTTTGGCTTGTGCTGGCTTGTGCTGCTTGTTCAAATGGGGATCCTGTGTCGCGTTATGCTAGTGTGTGCGTGTGTGTCAATGCGGCGTGCCAGGCGTAGCTCGTGAACTGCTCGACGCAGACATTTCTTCCTTGGAGTCGACAACAAGGAAATTCAGGGAAACCTGCTTGGTGGAATTGCAGGCAACAGCTGTGACCGGTTGCATACGATTAGATGGACGAATTCGGGGATGCCTCATTCTGGCTGCTGGACTCATACGACTGGATATCCAGGAATTAGAAGGACTAAACAGCATGGTGAAGGTTGCAGTAGCCCGCAGCAACAACAACAGAATCACACTCGAATTGCTGACAGCGCGTGTCTGCACGCGAAAGGTATTGGCGTTGCACACGGACGGGGCAATACGCTACAAGAGTGTGATTCCTTGTGCAGCCTCATTGGCCCGCAGTGCCTACTTGCACTACGGCAATCACGTTGATCTCCTCAGAGACACATCTCGCTGGGAGACTTGCCGTGACGGTAACCTGCATGCAGGCGACCCTACCATCTACAACCCCGCTTTGCAAACAACTGCGAAACACAAATGGGCAATGAAATACAACAGTCAGCTGATGAAGCGTTTGCGAGCCCACGACAAGGACAGATTGCGACTGAAAGACAGTGTTCTCTCGTTGGTGCTGCCTGGCCCGGCATCACAGGTTGATGCTGAGGACGGTGACAATCCAGCATCAGAGGTTTGGGTCTGTTGTGGAGTCACACGGTCGCAGACCATGATGCTGAACCTTGATTCGGGAAAGTTCATGCTGTCGGTTGCCCTGATTGCGTCCCTGTACAACCATGTGGAATCGGCTGGGAAAAACATCAAGCTCAAGCTGCACACACAGGTGCTGAAGCCATCAGGGGGGATGTTGAGGCAGCACAACGAAGCCAGCTTGTTGTGTGAACTTCGGGGGCGTTACAAGCGTGAAACTGTGTCTCGGGATGCAGCAGGTGTACTTGCAGATGGGGATGATGAAGAGGAGGACATGTCTGGGGAAGATGATGAAGAAGTTCGACAGGTGGGTGACCTACAGAACATGAGCAAGGATGATGAGTTCAAAATGCTCATGGGTTGGGAAGATGAACTTTCCAACGATGATTGCGAAGCAGGTAATGTCGATGACACATGCCTCGACGTATGCAGCGAAGATGAACACATGTCTGAGCTAGAGTCTCTTAATGTCAAGATGGCGATCTCAGCAGCCAACCAACAACCTGAGGCGGACTTTGAAGCTTGCACGGATCGTATTGCTGAGGATTGCGACTGCTTGAAGAGTACAAGTTTCTCGACACTGTCGCCAGTGGAAGCAGAAACCGAAGCATACCTACAAGAAATACTGCTGAGTAGGCACCATATGCATGCTGAGCAGGGTGACGATGCACCAGTGCCAACATCAAGTGCACCACCAAAGGATGCTGTGTCCGACCGACGTCATGATTCCTTCAGACCTCTGTTCAAACCAGCGGCTTCAGCTGTGGATGATTTCAGAGCAGCGTGGAGACAGTGTTTTCAAGATGCGTGTAAAGCTTTGCAGCACATGCGTGAGAACTCGAAGCGACAGCCGGGGGACAATGGTAGCTTGGATGCAATCTTGTGCTGCTAATTGCTTGTTTGTTCGGCTTGTTGCATGATTGTGCATGGTCATACACTCATACACTCGACATGCTGCTGAGGAGAGTTGTCTTTGATGATGGAAGAAGATAATGGTTCCTTGAATGTGATCTTGGTGCAGTGGACCAAACAAAACTTGGCAAAAGGCAGGTTGGTTGAGCTTGATGAAAACAACTGCCTGATTTGCCCCATGAACTTTGTACCGGCACGTGCTTTCCCACAGAAGCATATTCTTCCTTCGAGGATGACGGTGCGTCAGCATGCAAGATTTGCAGCGTTGCCACATCTGATGTCTTGACATGTGCATGTTGTTTGCAGTCAGTGCACCGAGCTTGCTGCAGCATGCTTTGTGACAGTGATGCGACCGGTGGGAAGTCATGGTTGCACGTTGATCAGCACCTCACGCCGGACATGATGCCAAACATGTTTCTGGCGCCATCTGATCACGCCACGCTGGCATCCTCGTCCTCCTCTTCTTCGTCGTCAGCGGGTCCCAATCCTTCTCCTTGGACATCGTCAGTTGACTGCAACAGAAGCATCAGTAATTGCAACGGTGTAATGCTTGAGTGCTGTGTGCTGGGAGCAGGGCTGTTCTTCTTGTTTGTGTGCCTATGAACAGTTGCTTTGAGGTTGCTCGGACTCTTGAAGCAGACTGAGACCAAGACATGCATCCCGCGACTGCAGCAGTCACCTGTGCTCTGTGCTTGTTGCAAGCATGCCATTGCGTCGAAACTTGGGCTGTTTGGTTGATTGATGGTTGCTGATGTTAACGGCTTCAGTGACACGGGTATGTTTTGAGATGTTGCATGTTCGGCAAGTCACACAATCTTCCGTTGCAGTTTGCTCTTTGCGTACGAACACTTCACCTTGGACCAAGGATCCTTGCACCCGAGCAATAGCCGCTGGTACTTCACCCTGAGCCGGGCACTTGGATTCGAAACATATTGCTGCATGAACAGTGATGTGATGACATCTGACAGTTCCGATTGCGCTTGCTCCAGGCAGTGTAGCACAGCAATGCAGCAACAATACATGCGGCATGCGGTCATGCGGACATGAGTGTGTGTTGTGAGAAGTTGTGAGCTGTGAGTTGTTGTGAAGCTGTGAAGTTGAACACTGCCTCAATACTTGCGTTGTCACTGTTTTGCTTCACGTGAATTGCTTCCTTTATGTTTTCTGGAAAGTTTGAGGTGTTGGGCGTTGGGCCGGCGTTTACCCAGGGGTCCTTATTAAGGGTTCCTCCTGTATTCTGTCCTGCAATCTCTAAACACCACACCCTACAACACTATAGGCCCTAAACTCCTCGCGCCCAGGTCAGACATCTTCCACTGGAGTTTGTGAGCAATATCATTCCGCACTGTGGATGCTGCTTGGCTTGTCGAAGTTGTGACAGTTGTGAAGTTGCTTTGTAACTTGTAACCACATAGTGCCTGAGCTGAGCTGCTTGAGCATGAGTCTGCATGAGTCTGCATGAACAGACAGTGATGTGATGACATCTGACAGTTCCGATTGCGCTTGCTCCAGGCAGTGTAGCACAGCAATGCAGCAACAATACATGCGGCATGCGGTCATGCGGACATGAGTGTGTGTTGTGAGAAGTTGTGAGCTGTGAGTTGTTGGGAAGCTGTGAAGTTGAACACTGCCTCAATACTTGCGTTGTCACTGTTTTGCTTCACGTGAATCCGTGAAGCCGGCCATGCCACCGGTGCCGAAAGAGAGACCGGCGACGGCGTCTGCGACAACCAAGCTGCCAGCCTCGAAGTCGATACCCAAGCAGCCCACTCCGCCTGCGCATCCACCGCCAGGTAAAGCTGCGGGCCCTCCGGCCAAGTCGCGGCCTGCAGATGATCGGTCGCGAACCCCAAAGCCACGTAATGCCAAGGATACCAAGGCGGCACCTGCCAAGGAGCCCAGTGTCAGAGGACCGTCACCTTCACCGCCTCCTCCGCGGCCTCCTCCGCCGCCCAAACAGGCGCCTTCTCCGCCTGCGCCTCCTACACCTCCGCCAGTGCCGCCCCCGCCTCCGCCACCTCCTCCGCCAGCATCAGATGCAGCAGCACGGCCGTTGACCTCCCCTGCATCAAATGCAGCACATCCAGCACCAGCCGCACCAGCACCTGCGCCAGAGCACATACCAAAGGCAAAGGCAGCAGCAGCAGCAGTGCCGATTCCCAAACAATCTGTTGCTGGTGCAGGGGTCGGCGATCCAGGGAATCCAGGGCCAAGGCCAAGGCCGCCAATGCCCAACATGGGCCAACCATTCCCGCCACAGCCGCCGCAGCAAGGACCAGCACCGACCTGGGTGCCTGCTCAGCTTCCTCCACTGTTTCAGCTCCTGCAACTGCCGTGGCAAGTGACGATCTACCTGCAACCGCCCCCCTTCTTTGCTCATGCTCCGAATGTGGGGCATATGGGGCCGAGGGCTCCACCGCCACCCGGGCCGCCTGCGCCGGATCCGCGACCGACTGGGTCGCCGACTTCTCCGGCGGCGGCGGCGGAGGAGAACAACGACACTTCAGTCGGTGTTAAGTATTCACATTTAGTTTCAATGCAAGGGCGTTGGTGTTGGTTAGGAATTATGTAATCTTAGTTGTTGTGACGTTGTTGTGGGTTGTTATAAACAAGATAAGTTGTTACAGACAAACCAAGGAAGGCGAAGCCAGCGAAGCCGAAGCCAATGGAACAGACAATGAGGACGATGCTGTCACTCCATGCGACAAGAGTGATGGCGGCGAGGGCAATGGTCCAGGCTCGGATGAAGCCGCCGAGGATCCGGACAGCGAGGAGCTGGAGCAGGACAACGCGGCCAATGATGATGATGATGGTGGCCCTGACGAACGGGACATGGTGGCCATGGAGGCTGAGATCGAGGAAGCGTTCGGGGAGCCCGGGGAGAGCGATCTGCCGCCACCGAACTTTCCCAGGGCGCCGCAGCCATACAGGTCAGGGTCCATGCCATGCATGTGTTGCTTTGCTTGACAATCAGTTTTGTGGATTGCTATTGCTGTTGCAGCATGTTACGATTGTTGTGTTCTAGTTGATGTGATGCTGAGCATGATGAGTGCAGGTTTCCACGAGCGCTTATTATTTGAGTTCATCATGTTCCAAGTGACAAGCATCGCTCATGCATCATGATGATTGCATGTCCTGACTTGGCGTTTGTCCGTTGAGTTCATTCTGAAGTGCAGTCCAGCATGTTTGAGCAGGTCCGTTGGCGAAGAAGACTTCGGATTTGATCCGTTTGCGGACATTGGCGGCCCCACGTACGAGGAGCTCTTTGGAGAGGCTGCTTCTGCCCCGGATGCTGGGGGCGTGCATGGGAGCTCAGTGGCGGAGGCAGAGAAGCCGGAGAAGCCCACTGCCAAGCGCTTTCGGAAGGACCGCACGAACCGCAACATGGTGACGACCGAAGAGCTGCCACAGTCGGAACCGTCGCAACAGTCGGCGGTTCCAAAGAGGTCGGCTGAGGAGCGACGACGGGGTCTGCTCAATGACGTGCCGGACCAGGTGAGACGTCGCTGAGATCGTTGGGCCGACACTGATGTATGAGTGATGAGGAAAATGGACACTGCGAGGGTTGCATTCAAGTAGACAGCTGTGTGAGTGGAGTGATTGCTTGTTGATTGACGATTGATACAGTTTGCTTCCTGTGCACGCCCATGACCTTGACACGGTGCATGCCATGACCTAATCAACTGTGGTGTAACCAGTGCACTGTGGATATGAGTGCTTGCTCAACCCAGGCTCACAGTGGTGGACGGCTTCGATGCTTGGTGCAGTTCAGATAACTGGTAACCACTGCTCAAACACATGTGAACGCTGTGAACGCTTGTGCCGCTGGCGTGTGCGTGTATGCATCACTGCACCACACCACACTCTCAACATGACACGATGCAATAGATTTCAGTGAGAGTCAATGCTTTATCTGAGGTCGATGGTGCACACCGAGGTCACAGTCTCTTGCTTGCACTTACCGGGACGACTATGCTCTCGACACTAACACTTCATCAGGCGTTGCTGGCTTGATGCATTGTGTTGCTGAACGTTGGCTTGATTTGCTTGATCTGTGATTGCAAAGTTGTCAGCATGTGCGTGAGTTATTGAGCTGCTTGATCTTTTGACCGCATGACATGTTGCACAGTCATGCATTGCAGTGGATAGATCATGTTGTTGTTTATTAATTATACAACTAATGCTATGTAATAAATAGTCCATGTATTTTATTTGTTGTTAGTAGGGGTGCCCGGTGCCTTTGGCCCTCCCCAGACCTCGGTCACACCGCCCAAGCCCCGCCACCAGTCCATCCAGACCCAAACCCGTCCCAAGCTCAAGATCCCCCCACGACCCTCGGCCCCCCCGCCCGAGGCCGTCCGAGGGCCCGAGGCCTCAGCCACCCCGCCCCAACCCTCGGGCGCCCTCCTCGCCCGAGGGCTCGGGCGCCCCGCCCGACAGCCCGACGCGCGAGGCCTCGGCCGCCCCGCCCGAGGCCTCGGGCGCTCCGCCCGAGGGCCTCGGGCGCCTCGGGCACCCCGCCCAGGCCTCGGGCGCCCTGCCCGAGGCGGGGCCCCGCACCCGAGGCCTCAAGGCCCTCGGGCGCCCCGCCCGAGGCCTCGCCCCGCCCGAGGCCTCGGGCGCCCCGCCCAAGGCGTCGGGCGCCCCGCCCCAGGCCTCCAGCGCCCCGCCCCAGGACCGCCCGCCTCGAACGCCCCGCCCAAGGCCTCGGCGCACTGCCCGAGCCCCGCCAAGAGCTCGGGCGGTCCGCCCGAGGCCACGGCACCCCGCCCGAAGCCTCCACCCCTCGGGCACCCAACTTATCACTATTGTTACTGATATGTGATCGGATCGCACTCACACTGACTAATTGATGACTTGAGGTACTTGGCTCGTGGTGCTTGGCAACGGGATGAATGCCAGCACAAGCCAGCGAAAACAATGTGATTGAACGCTGCTTCAATGATTTCTTGATCAATCACACTTGCATTGCACGGTCCTTTGCATGGTTGTCATTCTTGTGCATTGTTGGAGGCTCGCAGGAAGTATCTCTATCTATGTTTATGTAACTACTTATATCTGCATACTGTGAGGGATACACGCTAATATCGAAGGCATGTTCACAACTATATGGTTTGCGTGATTCATGATCATTAATCATAAGTTCCTAACACAGCGTCATGCCTACACTCATGAGCGATGACGCAGTGCCTGTGCTGTCACTTGCGCAGTGGGATCCCGATTTGACAACATCTTCACTAACTACTAAGAACTTTGTTCTGTTCAGGACTTGCAAGTTGGTGCTATGTTTCTTGCCATTTGTGCTGACATTCACTTGCTGATCATTTCAGTTACTTGCGCAGGACCAGTGCAGTGCCAAAGAAAGTATCGAACCTTGAACATACGTCGATTGCATTGGTCCATGTTGACAAGGAGGGTGTCCATTTGTATGCGACGTGTACCATGCAGACATGTTTTGTTCTCAGTGACAGCAGCAGTTTGCGAACTTATGGCAAGAGGTTTGACATCAAGGATTCGTTGACTGACTTGCGGCGAAGAATTGGTGCAAAGCAATCTGGCTCTGTGCATGCAGTTGTTGTTTGTGGTATTGTCATCCGCAAAGATTCAGTTTTATTACAGAACTGCAAATTACGCGCTGGATGGGGATCAGCTCATCTTCCTTCGACCTATCAGTCCATTGACAAATTCATAGTGAAGCGGAAGTTTGACAACGATAACGATAACCCTGCCACAATGCCTTCACAAAGTTCTCATGAACCTGCTGATGCTGTCGCTGCTCCACACACAACAATTGAGACCGAGTCCGATGACAAGCCCGATGATACCACAATGCCTTCACAAAGTTCTCATGTACCTGCTGATGCTGTCGCTGCTCCACACACAACAATTGAGACCGAGTCCGATGACAAGCCCGATGATAATCAGAAATCAAATGCACAATCGTCAGGCGCGACAGTTGCTACTTCACTGGATGAGCCGGCAGCGAAACGGTTGTGCGTTGAGTCACCGATTGATGCACCTGTGGAACTTGGTCGGGGCGGCCACACAGATGCTTGCGCCAACGACAGCGTGACAACGAATGATCATCTCAACACACCTGCAAACAATCCAATCGACGAGGCATCGGTGGAACCGGACGAGACGTCCATGGAGCCAGTGACGGCCGATGACACGAGTCACCACATTGCTATCGAGGATACTGCTCAGTGTTTGTCAGTGTTTGTTCCACATGATGATGTTCGGGGTGATCAGAACCAGCACGTTGCAGTCTTGAGTTATGAGCCTGCTTAGCATGCGCCTGTGTGTGTAGCCATTGCTAGACCAAACTGTAGCGTGAGTCAGTCGAACTGTTGAAAATTTGCTGTACTAGAATAATGCAATCCCATCCCAGCCCTTTGTTGTGACTCGAGGACATTGCGATGGATGCTCTTGACATTGCTGTGGACAGTTCTGCTCATGCTCCGAGTGACGACTGCCCGATGCATACATCTTCACAGCCTGCATCTGTGTGTGTCGAAACATTGGCTGATGCATTCAGTTGCTGGTTTGAATATTGTAAGCATCGATATCTAGCCGTGGAGTTAACAGTTAAACCGTGTGCAGCTTGAGCGTTGCTCAGGCTGGCCATCAGATGTGTTTCGTCGATTGTCACAGAACAAGGGGCTTTGTAATGACAACCTCCAGGGGCTGCTACCTAACTCCAGCGACTACATCTATACAGATACATCGGCCGAACGTATTGCACAAGTGCTTGGAACAGATGTCGGCACATCATTGTCCTTGATGGGTTTGTTCAAGAAGGTGGAGCTAGCGTCAATGAGCACATCATATTCTGGAATCGATGCACCAGGTGTATCAGTGATGAGCATCCTTGCATATGCCCAAGAGGAGTTGGACTTGACTGTGAACCATCCAGAACATGTTTTTGCAATAGAATGGAACCATCATTGCCAGCAAGAGCTGCTTGAACACCCAGCTTGCCCGTCTTGCCTATTTGGCGATCTGGAAGAGTTTCTCTGTCCGTTGCTACGAGGTCAGCTACCTGAGTTGCTAAGATCACAGAAGTTGCAGTCAGTTCTGGAGCCTGTCATCATGGGTCAACCGTCCAAAGCTGTTGCAACGTGCCTCAGCTTGTATGCATGAATCACGCAGTTTGTCACAATTGCTCACATGCCGGACTGCTGCACTGGAACTGTGGGGCTGTGGGGTGTGCGTGCTGGTTGCTTGGCATTTCTAAGGACAGCGTGGTGCCTGAAGCATGAGCGACAATGCAGCTTGCGAACTGCATGCACACACGTTGCAGGAACAAGCTGCACAGATTTCTCGATCATAGGTAAGTGCGAAAGAGAGCTAGGTGCCACATACAGTCATTTTCTCATTTGGGTTGCGCATCGTAAGATCTTGCAAGAACCTGTGCTTGTGCAAGAGAACGTTACGTCCTTTCCGCGGGAGACATTGCAGCGCCTGCTCCCTGAATACGAGTGGACCTTTGGAGTTGTCAGCCCGGACTTCTTGGGCTGGCCGATCCGACGTGATCGACAATGGTGTGTGTGTGGGGCCGAGTCATTGATTCATTGGATAGTCAACAGTCTGACCACGAGTGCTGTCTTGCCTTTGCTGCATGTTGATCATGTTGATTGACATTGATCATTGTCATGAAATTGCAATGTTTGTGCATGTTGGTGAATTGGTGAGCACTTCCTTCCTCAGGGGGCGCCATCGGGTCAAGACGATTGGTTTCAGATCATTGCTGTCACCGTTTGTTGGTATGTTCCAGCGAGCATTGGCACCTGGTGCTTCGTGGGACATGTTCTTCATGGAGCAGTTCGTTTGCAAATTCATGATTCTTATAACCATGTCATATGTTCTATCCGTACATATTCATACAGTGTATAAGATTTTTAAGTTGTGTAGCAGTGGGATCGGTGGGGTGTTTGCTGCTGACAGAAAGGACAGACTCCAACGCGCTTCAGAAGGAGCTGGACTGGGCATCCAATCGACCGTGCAGCTTAAGGAATTCATCGGCAACACCATCGGTAACCGAAGACGATGCTTTTGAGTCATGCTTGACAGAAAGTGAGCTGCAATTCCTGAAAGGTTACGAATCAGCTCTTCCCGGTGGTTTATGCTCCTTAAACCAGAATCCAGAGGTGACATGTGTTGGGGTAGCTGCCAACACCCAGGCCGGGCGCTTGACCTGGTACTGTTTTATTTTTGCAGTCTGACAGACTGACATATGAACCTTTGCTGTGAATCTTTGCTGTCAGGTCATGCGAACTCTCATTGCATCCTGTTCGCTGTGGTACTCACAACGACGACGTCGGTGGTTGTCTATGAGAGAACTTCCCGTGTTGCAGGGTTTCCCAGTATTCAAACACTTGTCGTATGGCAGGCCATGCTGCTCCTTTGCAGTAGGAGACAAAGACTTGCACGACTGGCCAGCAAGAAGTGCTTTGTGCCGAATGTGTGGTAACTCCATGCACATCAATGTTTGTGGAATCGTGATGCTATTCGCTTGGTCTCAAATCGAGATGGACATTGACTTGTTCAAGATGATCCGTATGACCAGTGCCGCGCACCACAGAACACGCACCGTGATAAAACACGCCATCAGATGTGATGCCGAGTCTGTGGCTTCCGCCGCGAGCTTATCATGTACACCTTCAGCGAGTTAGATGTTTGCACAGGCTGTCTGAGTTATATTCATAACAATTGTTTGGTGGTCCGGCTGCTGGCTGATGCACTTGATGCACCCTTGCACATACTTTACATACTTTTATAACATAGTGACGGTAGTGTGTGTCATGCTGTGCTGTCAGCCAGCTTGTGTGATGAGTTTGGAAGTTGCATGCTACGCATCAGCCAGGCCACGCTCCGAATGTGTTTCATGCTGGCAAGCAGCAACTCAACACATTCCCTTTTGTCATGATGAAGCCAGTTCCGGATGTTTCGGATGCAAAGAGTTGTTGGCAATCATGCATTGATGCATTGTCGCCTTGCTTGTTGCACACGGGTGAAGCGGAGAGTGCACCTTGATGACTTGTGTGTGTGTCATGTGTCATGTCTGCCACCTTCTCCTACTACTTCTTGAATTGGTTGCACATGTGGCTCGAGCAGTTCTTGTGCTTTGCACGTTGCATCAGCATTGATTCGGCATCGATTTCCTTGAGACTTGCCACTCACCATGGCTCTTTCGAAGATGCCACAGATGCCCAAGGATAAAAGCGGAGTTCCAGCAGTCGGGAAGAGTGGTGCGAGTGACGCACCGGCTGTGGTACTGAACAAGAGCATGATGTTTGATCAGAGTGCCACACTGACTGACATCTTTGGTGCACAGATGACTCCCGGACTAGGTTTGGTTGACGAGATCATCAAAGCTTACAAGGTCCATCATTTCATTAGTTTCATTTGTGGAATAGATACAGACACAATCGGCTTTCCACTAAGAGAAAACACTAAATTCACTAGAACGTCCACACACACATATGATATGTGTGGTTTCATCAATTAATTTTAATCAACTACTGCAGGTGCCCACCATCCGGAAGGTTCAGTTCTTTGCCTCAGAGGTCGACACCGACGCCTCACAACGAATGATCCTCCGACACCCGTTAAACGGACGCCGTCAAGACCAGGTGCTCAACGAGTACGTGAAAAGTGTGCAAATGCGCGGAATAGTTCCAGGCGTCAGGGGACAGGCCTGGTTGCTTGCACCCGACGGGGAGAAGAATCATCACGCTTACCTTGCTCTGACGTTCGCGACGCTGTGTCCTGGCGCCAGAATCAGCAACAACACAACACAACAGCAGCCGCGGCCAGCATCACCATACACATCAACACCAACAACTGGACCAATACCACCAACACAAAGAACAACAACATCAGCCAACCTCAACAACAACACAAACACCAAATGCAGTATCAGCTGAACCAACATCACCACTAACATCATCCTGGTCCTGCATCCCAAGGTCAGAGGCATTTTACGAAGCGTGGGGACGTGCAGACAGGGCCTCACACCCGAACTTGGCTTTGACATTCAAAGCCGGATTGGATGCGGTGGTGTTTGACTCCAGGACTCCTCCCGCCGTACTGGAATTTCTCATCACCTATCACAACCAGTTTCATCAGGGCTCTAAGACCTCATGGTTAGAAATGATCTTGAAGATTCCAGACGCATCTCGGCCAATTGCTACTACACTACTACCACTACTACTACTACTACTACTACTACTACTACTACGTATGATGCTCAGGTAGAACGCTCATTCGCGTCCTACAAAGTCGCCCACGGGATCACTGCCCGTATGTCCGACTACGAATCCAAATATAGAGAGTTCATTTCTTCGCAGTGGCCTGAAGTTTGGTCGTCATACCGTGCATTCGAGACGACAAGAGTCGTGTACAACCACTTAACGCGGCACCATGTGCTAGACTCCATCAAAGAGGTCGCACAACGCTGGTGCGAATTCTTGCACCCGCAGCTGTCTCACGAAGATGTCCTGGCCACGATCAAAGAGTTGCTGAGCGGGTGCGGCTCATTTTTCAGTGCGATGACAGAACAAGAACAACAGGCAATCGTTTTGGAGATGGTGTTTGCAGCGGCCCTTCAGCTGAAAGTGGTGTTTGCCAACACGTTGTACTTTCGCGTGGTGCCACATTGACAATGACAACATATGTTTTTGAGTACTGCTAGTATTGGCATGCCTGTCATGTTCATAGTCTTTTCTCAGTTGTGAGTGTGTCGTTGCCAGCTGCAGTTGCGATGGCTTGCAATTGCTTACTCGTGAACGCTTTGCTTGATTGATTAGTTTGGCTGATCTGTGCACGTGCATGTGTCCTTGCTGCGTGTGGGGCCGGGCTTATGTTGCATGCTTGTGCATGTGTGGTGATGAGTCGGTGATGAAGGTCATGGTGATGATGATGGCGCTGATGATGGTGATGACGAACATGGTGATGATGATGGTGATGATGATGAAGATGTTGCTGACTGATAACGATGACAGTGACACTGATGATGACGACTTGATGCTGGTTCGATGACTGAACACGGAGTCGTGGGGTGGGTGTGGATGAGGGGGATGTCATTGCTATTGAGGGTACTTCCTGGGCTATTGCAGTCACAGTCACAGAATAACACTTTAAAAGATCTTGCTTGTCCCGAGCACGTGGCGGCAACAACAGTGTCTTCGTGAGACACCGTATATCCAGACATTGACATAAACTCAACATATGTAAAATGTTAAGTTAAGTTCATATTCATATATGCTGTATGAGCTAAATTGAAATTACTTTTCTTGGACGTTCGATTTTTGTGAATGAGTCACTGCGTTTAATGTTAGTTTAATTGTATATAGTAGATATCTATATATTGTAACATACATTCATAAGTCTAGGTTTCTGTATTGCATTGGACAGTTGTCCCGTCACTGGATAGGCATGTCATCACTCCTTTGCCGCATGTCACCCTTCGACTCCGTGATTAGGACAACGATAATTCATGACGATGACGATGATTCGACGATCATGATGCAGATGATGATGATAGTGATGATGATGATGCTTATGAATGAGTATATGGTGATGATTATGATGCTGATGACGATGACACTGATGATGATGACGATGACGGTAATGATTATGATCATGATCCTGATGTGTGCTTGGATTGAGTATGGTTGATCTTTGTTGTATTTTCATGTATCGGAAGGTTGGGGCCTGAGCGATCCCTATAGTGACATGATTTGACCGCACCATGGGCTTCATTTGTTCAAGCATGTTGAGTGTCAGTGTTGTTTGCCGTCTGGCATGTTTGCATCTGTACACCTGAGCACCTGTTTGCATCCAAGATTCCGCTGCACGGCGAGGGCACACGGTGGATCTTCAAGAAGCCGGCCACAGCATCGAACGACGTGGCGCTGTTGATGACACCGGTGTCGGGCCGCGTGTTTTTGATCCAAGACAAACTGAAGCAGCAGAAGCAAGCCGCATCCAAGAAAGTGAACCCAACGAAGATTTTGGCTGCAAACGAGCCCAAGCGAGCAGCAAAGGCAACCGCGAAATCCAAGGCAAAGGCAAAACCAGGTGCAGCCAGTAAGACTGTTATCGAGCCATCAGATGATGCAGGGAGGACTGACAACGAGGTTGCCGTGCACGGCGTCGGTGGCACTGCATTCGCACGGGAGAAGTATTTCATTGATTGCCTCGTCATGTGTGTGCGCAGTGCCTTGCGGGCAGCACGGAAGACATTCGGTGTGCCAGAGGAGTCGGGGAACTTGACTGATGCTGAGACGGGGCAACTCGTGTACACGCCAATGGAGCTGAAGCTGTTAAGGGACGTCATCAAATCTGGATTGGCATTTCTGATGGATGGAGAATTCAAGTTGCAGAACAAGACTTACAAGAAGTGGTCATCTTTGCGACCAGCGCTTCAATCCTCGGTGATGAAGCGTTACGAGACGGTGGTTTGATGCATTAGTTCACAGTTGACTTGTGTGTCTGTGTGTTTTTGGTTGTGTGTGTCCATGTGCTTGATAGCTAGCTTGAGTTGGCATGTGTTTGCATGTGTGCTCCACATTTCATGTTAGGATCTCCATGTCACGCGCACCTTGACGACAAGCTCTGGTGTGGATCAGAATGACGGCGATAGGGTTGAGAACATTGCAAAGATTCTGCCTGCTGTCAGCAGGTCTCACTCCGATAGCGAGCTTACGAGCATTGTGAAGGCATGCAAATCGAAGGAGCTGGAGCCACTGATTCCAGAGTTGTTCAGGTGGCTCGATGCCGAGAGATGCGCCACCAAGCAGACCAATCCACTCGAGACAAAGCCATCCTTGCACATGACTATGGCCAAGATTCTCGAGCAGTGGGAAGACTTGTGTAGCTGCGGTGAGAGGAGGACATAGTCACAATACACTCCACACATGCTTATATTTAGCCATTGGGTTGGATGACATGACTTGCAGGCTAAGCCTGACTGCCAGGACCAATGTCGAGACATGTATCGTTCATCAGCACAAAGCAGACGTGATGGATGTGGTATTTCAGATCTGCCAACTGACTTGTGCTATCGTACCTCATGCGGTTGTGGCGGCGGGAAAGATCATCAGCAGTCTGGTTGCCACCACGTGGGGAGGGGCTTTGCCTGCTGCATTGCAGGATCATACGGATCAGGAGTTTGTGAGGGCAATCTTCACAAACAGAGGTATCTCAGCGCTAGCAGAACTTCGCAAGGACTACATAGTGTTAGCTTGCGTGCATGCACTCTGTGACCGAGTCCAATGCAATACAGATCAACTCAAGCATTTGGTCAAGCATCACAACGCCGTGTTGCTTGAATTGGACACATGCTGTGACGTCGCCGAGCTGGACGCCTTGAGCACCGGCTACGGCACAGCGTTCACAGAGCTACTAAAAAAAGGCACAGTGACAATGGCTGAGCTTTCGGAGGAGACCAGCAATTCCGAGAAGGGGCAAGGATCCGCCGCAGGGTCGGCCACAGCGAACACCAGCGAGTCAGCATCCGGAACAGCTGACGGGCGACTTTGTTCTTTGCGTGAGCTTAGCAAGCTGTGCCAACAGAATCAGATCAATGCTTTCGGCTTGAGTACAACCGAGTCCTTGCACGAGTTGCGATTGTTGATTGCTGCAGACATGATGACAAAGTCCAGGCCGGAGATAGTAATGGCAGTCCCATGGTTTGTGGTCATGCTCTGCTAAAATGTTAGTATATGCTGATAACTGAGTGGTATCATGTTACTTGCTTGCATCCCGTCAGCAATGTCACGTGTGATTTGTCACTTCTCAGATGTTGCCATGTTGTGCTCAGTGTTTGCAGGGCCTACGAGCACGAGCACAGCTGCAACTCCAGCATCTTCTTTCATACCACAACTTCCGAGAAGGGCGATAAGAGTGTGTCCAACACCGAAGTTTTGCTTCTGTTGCACGACGGCTGTGACAAGGTGACCGAACTCATTGGGAATGCCTCAGCAGAGCCTGTGCGTGTCACGCTTGATGAAGTCACAACCGAGAACTTCCGGAACACCTTCCGCTGCTACCTGTGGGGTGACGTGAGTGCTTGGGCATTCATGGCATGTGTTGCAATGACTGGCAGTGCAGTAGTGTGTGTGTGTGGCAAGTCTCGTTTGCTTTGGTTGCATGCATGGCGTACCCATGTTGTGTCGCTGCGGTTGTTGCTGCCATCATGCACATGTCGGCCGTGGTCACTATGTGTGCATGCATGCACGGTTGAATGGAGTGAATGCCTTGATATGAATTGATATGATTGATATTGCTTCGGCTGGCTTTGACCGTTAGTTTGTACACGATGCTCAGGCACCGATGTTCAGGTGATGCAGAAGATGCCCAAAGTGATGCAGGTAACATCCATCCAGGTTAAGGACAAGTCCGCAGATGAACCGTTGAAACTCCACTTCGGGAACTCCGACGCAACCATGGACGTCGACTTCTTTGTTCACGGCACGAACAACTCGAAGATGGATGCAAGTGTAGTGTGTCCAGGCTGGATGATCCCGCCAACGGACCTTGCCTCCCCCATCCTGAAGGTGTATGAGGCGAAGCACACAATGCAGTTCAAGGGCGGATCCATCGAGTACACTGTGCCATACCTGGCAATGCCTGCTTCAGATGGCGATGCAATCACCACCCCAGTGCTTGTAAAGGTTGTCAACGGCAAAGCATTCGCAGTTCTCATGCGGTCGCACTTGTCTTTGACTCAGCATGTGCCATGCATCTGGTAGGTCATGTAGGTTCAGTTGTGTGTGGTGTCTGCCAGTGTCTGCTTGTGTACCTTGATGATCTGTCGGTTGTTGTTGAGTTGTTGCGCAAGGATTGGAGAAGAGTGGAAGCCGAAGAAGGGAGTGAAGCGTCCCTACCCGGGGGCTGCCTATGCACATGATCATGATCTTTGGTCATCCGGTGACGTGTTGCTTGAAGCCTTTGGTTTGACTCCCGAAGGCGGGAGCATTGGTATGACATCTCGTGCACGTGGCAGGGGTGCTAGCCCTAGCAAGAAGCTGAAGCCAAACAATCGTGCTCGGCACTTGGTTCGCTGAGCAGTGCAAATCATGTCATACATTGCGATGCTTCCCATAAGCTGGAAGCGGATCGACCGGATCGGCGCAATATGATTACAACAACAAAACAAAACTTTGCCATCCTTTCAAAGTCTGACACAAGAGAAGCTGCTGGTGACAGACCGACCGGATCGACACAACGAACCACTCATTGCGATGCTTAGCAGAAGCTTGCAGAAGCTGGTAGCAGATCGTCACAACCACAACGGAAAAATGATCGAGTGAAGTGCTCATGTGCATCGTTGCATAAAGCTGTCATGAGGTGGCTGTTGTTTGAGGTACTAATTATCGCGAGCCTTGTTTCGGCAGTGGTTTTCACATCCACTGGGTAGACATCGGCACTTTGCAGAAAACCAGTCGGACGACGTATGCATGCTCTAGTCTAGATTGCTGTTGTGGCCCGAATTGATTTGTCGTTGGCACTCGCGACCTGCAACCATGGCCAACAACAAACAGCTGACTGTATGTACTTCACTTATGTTTTGGAATCAGCTTTTTGGTGGTGCCACCACCGCAGCAGCTTGTCATCGAGTGACCTTGAAGTCATGAGCCATGAGCCATGAGTGACAAATTGTTTGTTGGTTTGAGTACAGTGATTGGCGCTTGGTCAGGCTTTGTTACTTTGTTCGTGCTTAGTGCTTAGTGCAGTGCGTAGTGCTTGACTGTCGGCTGCTTGACTTGATCGCTGCAATGAAGCTTTTGTGATAACAACCAGACCAACACCACCACCAACAACAACACAACAACAAGTACAGGCATCAACTAACAACATCACCACACCACCGCGACATGCATCACAACGACAACACCATCAACAACACCAACAACAACGACTGTCAATGCACGGCAACAATCATGCCGTTGCAAAGCAACCAACCAATCACATCATGCATGCTCACACAAGCATGAGTCCGAACATGAACATCCATGCTCAATGGTTGGCAATCATCATGGTAGCTCAGCAATCTGACTCAGCAGCGGCATGCAACGACAGACAAAACATGCATTTCTCAACAAGCCAACCAAGCCAATGCAAGGCAACTGTAATGACCCTCTCACCAATACAAGCAACCGATCAGAAAGCTTCATGCTCGGCAAACATTAGAATTGCCCACAACCCACCAACCAATCACATCATGAATGCTCAGCGAACCAAGTTGGCCAATTCACGGCAACAATCATGACGTTGCAAAACAACCAACCAATCACATCATGCATGCTCACCCAAACATGAGTCCGAACAGGAAAACATGCTTGATTATGTCCGCAACTGCAATTGTCACATAACTCCAGCAGCCGCAAACCATATATGAATGAAACAAAAAAATCTAGATGCATCCAAAAAAAAGTGCTTAGTCCATAAAGTTTGGCTGACACAAAAAACAAACACTCAGGCAAGCTTTTTGGCATATCACAACATACGGGATGGGGCTGACTGTTACTTGACTGGCCTGCCGGGTAGCCTTGGGCAGGCACCCGGGCTCGCGCCCATACTAAATCTGAACATGGACCCAAGGGGTTTTGGACATGCTTAGGGCTTGGGTGTTCTTCTGTTGGGTCTTGCTTTTCATCCGCCACACGAAGAAAAGCGAGCAGCCTTTGAACGTTCATAGACCTGGACACTTGACCGAAAGCCTTACGACTGAAGAGTGATGGAGACACATTCCAGGCGCGAACATTGAATCAAACAAATCGTATACATAAGGCCCCAGACGCCGAGGAGCAGTCCACATACTACAGGGATCAGCATTCAGGATGCAGGGTCGTGATAAGTGCTTTCGAGTCCAACACACACACACACACAGAGACAAGCACACAAACACACACAGTCGGTGTGCACGGTATACCCATGCATTGCCCGCTCTTCGCGACCGCAGTGGACGGTAAATGGCCTGAGCGCCTCGACAACCTCGGGGCGAAGTCGGCGCGGGGGACGTCCTCGGGCTTCGGCGCGCTGTATCCTTGCTCGCCTTTTGTCTTGCAGTGAGTCGCAGTTGACAAGGGTGCCGTCACAGTCCGCTCTTTTTCTCTTCGTTCCTGCCCTGTACGGCTGCGGCACCGTGCGGTCGCACACACGGCACATGCTGCTGGATCCGAACCGACACACACACACACACACACACACTACGCAATGTCATGTCATAACGAAGGCTTCTGTCCTGCTCGTGGACCTTGGCGGTTTCCGCGCACAATGCAATTGCGAAGCTTGCACCTTCCTGGAGACAAGCTTACAATGCCTCTTCAGCCGTATAGTCCGAAAAATCTGAGTTCTTGGGCACCTTTAGACATGGGAGTTTCCGGTTATGGGATCCTTATGATGAGGATCCCACTATATCCTACTATTTTGGGTACGACATTAGGGTCCCCATTTTTGGGAAACTAAGGCACAAAACCCGACCCAATCCCTGCGGATCCGGTTCTTGGAGGCCGGCTATGCTCAGATCAATGTGGTTCACTTTGAGATCAAGGCCACTATTCCCAAAGGGTCCAGGTAATGGTCTAGTATATACTTTTGGGGCCCAAATACATGCTAAGTACCTACTATAATGATACTTGGACCCTTTGGGTCGTCGTAGTGCTACCCTAGGGGTCCATGTACCCAAGTAGTGTATACTTTGGCCCCGAAGTACTCATATAGAGATTGCGGTAAGGCCAAAGTCTGTGCTGCTTGGGTACATGGCCCCTTGGGGGCAGGGTTTACGGCCTGGGCAGCCGCTACAGGTGTGCTGCTTTGGGTTTATGGTGTTTTAGGGTTGAGGGTTTAGAGTCATAAGTTTCGGGCTCACGGTTGAGGGGGTTATGAGTTTGGGTTTAGGAACACACGTTGCATGTGACTTAAGGGCATGTGAAGCAGGCCGCCTCGTTGAAGAAGGAAACACTCATCGATGCGGGGGTTGATCTTAAAGTTAAGAGCCCCTTTTGGTCCCCTAAACAATACAAAGAACATACTATAACACGGCCGGACCCCACAAGGGCCCATCGTTTTGATAAACCTCCCAGCACTTCAGGAGCCATGTTTACACTCACGCAAACACCAATATCAACACCTCATCGCTTGAGGAACTAGATACACGGGCTGATATAAGGTTTAAAGGTTTTTGAAGTCTAGCATGTAAAACTAGCGTACAGGTCGGAATCCTTTTCAATCACATCCCCTTATAGTTTCCTTTAGAGTAATCTCCCCCCCCTCCTCCCCCGCCCCCCCAAACTTTATTTGAACTATCCAGGCCCCTGTTTGAGGCTTTATACAAGGATTCAGGGTTTTGGGGGGCTCAAGAAATCCTAAATCCAAACCCTAGAGTCAGAACCCGACCAGGACCCCAAGTGCCCCTTGTGGTCCTTAGGCTTATGCTCGCTTCTGATGCAATTTTATGGCACCAGCACAGCTTTCGGCGTTTCACCGCGCAAGATACACTCAGTCGCCTGTCCCTTTGCGACGCCATGCGCGACACAGCGGACTGCCCTCTCGGTGAAGTTTGCTGGGATCAGGTGGTATACAAGCACCTTGGCTTAGGGTGATAGACAAGGGATTTGGGATTAGCTTTTTAGGGTTTGGTTTTCGCGATGTATGGTTGAGGGATCCGGTTTTAGGCTTCAGGCATGCTTGGGGTTCCTGTCTGTGCTTGTCACGTCCTCCCATCCCTGCACGAAGTATACAAGACTATCGGCCTTAAAGGGAACTCCAGAAAGTTGGAATATGGATTAATGGTAGGATCCCCTATAATTTACCTTAAAGGGGTTAGGATAATGATATTCCAACTTTCTGGCTTCTACTGTATACCTGAGGTACACCGACCAGTTGAGACGCATCGGGCTCGCTGGGTTGTTTCTTCTCGCAAGGGTCCTTGTCACAGTAAGTACCGTTTCCGACAGAAAGGAGACACTGGCAGCATTACAATCCCGAGTACTGAAGCCTTTTTAGTCCTGGACTTTTAGCCCTACCTATAGTCTCCATTGTAGTTGCTTTTTTTGATTTAACCAGTTGTATATTAAGGATCCTAAAAGGTAGCCCCAAAAAGGAACTACAATGGAGACTATAGGTATAGACGCATAAGCCGCTCAAAGCCCGAAAGGTTGAAAGCCTTGACCTGAATTAAGCTGCGAACGCCGACACCCTTAAAGGAACGACTTCGGACTTCGCCAGGGGTCCTTTAAAGTCCCATGATCCTCCATTATAGAACCCTTATAGATGTAAACCCTGAGACACAAAAGTGGACGGCCGCATATCTCAGGAACACTTTTCTCGAGGTGGTGGATCAGGATGCGGATTAGGGTTAAGGGTTTCCCGGTTTGTGGTTTACCGCTTAGGGTGTTTAGTTGAGACAGGATGCTAGCTTCTAGCCATCAAAGGGTGGTAGAACCCAGGCCATTGGTGCCAAGTCACCCTTTAAACCCAACTCTCGCTCCTGACTATCCATATTCACGAAAGCTTAACCTTCGGTTCATTACAGGGCTTTTCGGGGTTGGAGGTTTGAGGCTCCTTGCATGCTTCGCGGTTTTCAAGAATTCGGTTCCCAATGACCCTAAACCCTCAACCCCTAAACCCTAAACCCTCCCTAGACCCTCAACCTTCAACCCTCTACCAGGACGCGGAGGCAGTGAAGGTCAAGTTTGGCCGATCCGTTTCGTGGCCTTGCCTAGGCCCGCATGTCGAAGTTGAGGGTTTGGTTCAGACTTTTGGGGGTTTAGGGGGTTTGGGTTTCGAGTTTGGGGGGTTTAGGGGCTTGGGGGTTTGGGGTTTTGGGGGTTTAGGGTTTTGAGTTTAGGCTCAGGGTGTGAAGTGTCTTAGGGTTTGGGGGTTTTGGGGAGTCTTATTTGGCATATTTACGGCTCTTATGGTTCGGGGACTCCAGACTCAAACCCACAAAATCCATTAAGGATTGCTTACCTCAAACTCTAACCAGCAATCAGGGTCCCTTGACAGATTCAGAATTGGGAGTTTCCGAAAATAGGGGACCCTAATATAGTGCCCTAAGAAGTAGGATCCTGATTATCAGGACCCCAAAATGAGGCACCCTTAATTTTCGGAAACTCCCACATAGCAGCTAGTAAAGAGTGTTCGAGTCTCCGAGTTGGTGGAGTGGGTGAGGTGAAAGGCTACGTGTCCCTCTGGAGTATACACTAGGCCACTAGGCCTTGAAGGGGTTCCTATCTAAGTACTTCAGGGCCTGTGTAAGTATATAACCTTTCTAACTGTATTCATCACACAGCCAAATCTAATCTTGCAACTCCAAGAAACCTAAACCCTGAGCCCACAACCTGAACCCCAGACGGTAACCTTAAACCCAAAGCCCTAGACACTAAACATACCCCTACAGTGAAACCAACAAAGTTCGAACATCGATTTAGCATGCATGGTGCTGGGATTCACAAGACTTTATGAACGTGAGGATGGCAATGTTCCAGGGTCTTGGCTGTTATTATCAACCCTATCCATCGCCAACAGAAGAAGTGCAACAACGTTCTTCCAGGTAGGCTTTTGGGACATGTTATAGTTCACCCTTAATTGGGCCGAACTGTTCTTATCTACGCAGATTTCTCATAGGCTTTAAAGGGCCAACCTAGTCTTCAAGCCTATGGCAGACACCACGAAAACCCTGCAAAGGATTTTGGAGGAATCCTTGAAGGAACATATAACGGGGTACATGGAGCCTTGAGGAGCTTTCTTTGACTAGGACCCAGCGTAGGCCTTTTTTTCAAGGGTTCAGGTTCCCTTAAACGCCCCTCTAAACAAAAAGGCACCCTTTTTATTCTTAGGCTACTCTTGGGTCTATTTAAGCCTGACCAGGTGCTCAGGTGTCTGAGCCCACGGGTGCCATCATCCAACCTCAAGACCAGAAGCTCTGCGATTGGAGAGTTTCGGGGTTTAGAGTTTAGGGGCTTGGACTTTAGGGTTCATTGGTGTAGACGTGTATAGAGAGCTTCGGGTTTGGGGGGTTACGGGTTTGGGGTTCACGGTTTCGGGGTTTGGGGGTTAACCCGAAGGCCCTCAGGCTCATCGTACCTATAGAGTACATGCTAAGGCAGCTCAGGCTTTTTCAGGGGGTTCCTATGTAGATGCTTTAAAGCTTAAGTATAAACAGTCTATAGGCACATGGAGCCTTAGGGTCAGGGCTTTAGCCGGGACCCTATGGTCTGTAAACTCTAAAACTTTAGGGCTTAGGGTTTACATGAGTTTAGGGTTTCAGGGTCGAGGATTGACTCGATGATGTTAAGGGCTACGGGCCTGCTCCGAGCCTCAAACGAAGGAAGCCTAGACCTCACGAAAACCTTTAAATTTCTACCCTAAGGCTTCTGGACCTGTGTAGTGAGATCCCAAGCCCTAGCCCCCAAAGCCGAAACTCTCACACAGAGAGCCCAACACCCTCTTAGACGTTTTGAACCCTATGCAGTACACGCTTTTTTTTAACTGGAATGCGGGAGCCTAGGAATTATTTTGGAAGCCTCACACACCAGGGATCCTACCGAAGATCCTTTAGGTGGTTGGGTGTTAAGGTGTTTGCATCCTTCAAGAAGTTAGCGTTTGGGGTTAAGGGATCCAAACAGCTCCTAGAGTTCAGAGGTAGGTTTGCGTTTGCCCCAACGCTACATGTACCGGTATACTATATACTTGGACCTGGATTCAAGGGTCCCACAGAACGCACGTTAAGCCTTAAGTATATGCTATTTGGGTATATGGAGCCGTAGGCTTACAGCCCATATCGTAGGACACTCAATAGCTGCTCCTACTTCAGACTATGCAAGCCGTGGTTTAGGTTTAGGGGTTTAGGGTTGAGGGGTTTAGGGTTTAGGGTTTAGGGGTTTAGGGTTTAGGGTTTCATATTTGTCAAGTCGCTGAACCCTAATCCCTTTCCCTGAACAGGGAATCGCTCTGTTTCTGAACTCATGGTCTCCAACATGCCAGCAGCCCAATGCTTTAATGCGTTACGGGATTAGAGTTTGGGGTTTAGGGTTTGGAGTATGTGGGAAATAGTTCCACGCTTGCAGCCTTTGGGAATGGTTTCTGTTTCTCGAGATTTTCAGTGGGGAAGTTGTGATTTTGGGGCTTGAAGTTAAATCTGGTCAAGGGGCAAGCTCAGGGCGATTACCCCCTCTTCCGGGAAGACAAAGGCTTTCCAGTCTAGGAACGTGCAGCGCATGTAGGGATGAGTGTTTAAGGTTCAGGGGATGCAATATGGGGAAATGCTGAAATCGTCTAGAGCAACAAGCTGCACGGTCCAAAGCCCCACACTCCAAATCCTAGTTCCCTGAGGGGTATATGCTTTGGCCCTGAAGTTCTTCAATTGGCAATACTTCAAGTCAAGGCCAAAGTATACACATTTACACCCTAAGCCCTAAACCCTAAACCCTAAGCCCTAAACCCTAAACCCTAAACCCTAAACCTTAAACCCTAAACCCTAAGCCCTTATTACACCCTAAGCCCTAAACACATGAACCCTTGGGCCTTCGGGGTTGGTTCCTAAGGAAAGAGGCCGAGGATTCTTCGACGCAGTCTACGGCCGCTTCTATCGTCCAAGTTCAACAGAACCTCTGCAGCCCAAGGTTTTAAGGTTTGCGGTTTATGGGAGGGATTAGGTGTTGTAAGGTTTTGGGTTTCGGCTTTATGCTGTATGAAGCTGTTAAAGAACCCCGACCCTTGCCAAGTCTCTACCTGTGGCCCCAGACCCTGCAAAATTATTCTCACCCTCCAGTACGGGTCATATCTGACATAACCCTTGTAAAGGTAGTTTTTTTGGATTTACAGGTAGGCCCTTTTGAAGCACCCTCAACCCAGGATTTCATAGACCTCACAGAGCAGGGATGCTTGGGCCCTCAGATTGTGTGTGCGCATGTAGTATATAGAGTTATGGTGGTTTCTACAATGATGAGGGTTAGTGGAAGGTTTCGACAAGCAAGCGTTTAGGGTTTAACGGCCCGGGTAGCTAGTATATAACATCTACTTGGGCATACTAAGGGTCTTATGTGTACTTTAAGGCTCATACTACATATATATATATATATATATATGTATGTATGTATGTGCACTGAGCCTTATGGAGGGTAGGGTTTAAGGGGTTGAGGTTGTAGGGTTTAATTTTCGGAGTCTCGGACCGTGTTGTGGTTGCAGCGGAAAGCAGGAACTCAATGAGCCTTGAACAGGGTCATCTCAGGAGGTGTCAGTTCCTGGGGGCTGTAAGGTAAGAACTTGACCCAAAACCGCCCCCAGCCCTAAACCCTAAACGTCAGACCCTAGCTTTGCTCCAAGGAAAGAGGCCGAGGATTCGTCGACGGAGTCCACGGCCGCTTCGGCGGAGTCCCCGGTGGAATCTCCGACGAACCTCGCCAAACTTAGGGTAGAAGCTTGGAGGTCTACTTGGAGGTTCATGGGACTTAGTAAGGTTCCGTAAATGGCTCCTTAAAGGCATCTATAGGGGTCCTTAAAGGGATCTATATGGTTTAGGTCTACCTGGAGGATCATGGGACTTAGTAAGTCAGGTTATAGGTACGTTAATTGGTGTTATAAGGAGTTATAAGTATAGTTACCCGAACTACAACCCCAATTACTAAGTCCCATGATCCTTTAAGTAGTGTTTCTGGGCTTCAAGGTTTAGGGCTGAGAGATTAAGGGTCCGAGGCTGAAGTTTAGGATCCGGTTGGGCTTGAAATATGTTTTCTGGCTTTGGGGTTTTCATGTTTCGGTGTAAGATTGTCTGATAGTGTTGGGCTTTAGGGATGGGATATTGAGTTGTGGGTTTCAGTTTTTTGCCAATGTTGTGGGACGGCTTTATCGTTTTCTTTGTTAAGGTTAGGCTTAAGGGTTCCAAAAATCGCGAGCTTACGGTCTAGAGTTCGAGGTTTTGAAAGTCCAAAACCGCAAACCCTAAACCCCAGACGGCAAATTCAGGCCGAAGCAGGATGCCATCCTGAACCAGAGTCGCATGGACCCAGGCGAGGCATCGTATTGTGGGGTCTCTGGCACCATCTGAACACGAAGGGCTAAACCTGCCTACACTGTGAACTCTGACCATCATAACATGAAGCCTAAAGTAGGTCCGCACCTTTTCAAAGCCCTTTTAAAATTGATTCAGATCTCGCCGAAACAAACGTATTTCTGAAATGCGGCCGGGCAGCGGTTGCAAATTGACGTGGAGTTGAGAGGTAAGGGATGCCAAATAGCGATTACCACCTGAAGCCTCAATCCTAGACACCATGATCACTGAAACTACCCATAACAGGAACCCTGAAAGGCATCCTGCAAAGGCGCCCTGCAAACAAACACAAGAAAAGCCCTGAGCAATAAGCCCAAATATGGCAGCTTCACTAATTGAAATAGGATTTTGGGGTATGGGTTTAACGGCGCCCTAAGGAACCTTGTCTGGGCTTCTTAGTTGACGACGAAAAAGTGGTGCCCACCCCCTTCTCCCCGTGTCCAAGGTAAGGAGCCTTGTCTTATCCTGGAGCCTAATACCCCAATAAACGGTCCAAAGTACCTATATAGTAGAATGTAAGTTTTCTGTAGTAGGAATTCATATTATGATTTGGGAAGGTATCCCCCAAAACAGTACGTAGGACCCTTTGGGTACCTAAGCCTCAACCCTAAACTCCCCCCCCTTTCTTTGCCCTAAGGCTCCATGTACCCATATAGTATATACTTAGGCCTTAAAGTACCAATATAGAGACCCCTTTAGGGCCTATACTATAAAGGTACATGGAGCCTGTGGGTTGGTTGCATCATAGGGACCCTTAGGGGTGTAGGGGGAGGGGGGGTAGGGGGCCTTGATGCCCATAATAAGGACTAAGAAGGCCTATTTAAGGAAATATAGTCCCCTACACCCTCCCCCCTACACCCCTAAGGGTCTCTATGGTTGCAGGCAAGGAGCCTTGCCTCTTCTACATCAGCTCCTCTGGTTGTCGCGGTGGTGCCGGCACCGTGGCTTCTCAGAGAGGGTTCTGGGACCAGGGTCTAACATGAAAAGGGGCCCTCAGTATGGGCGTTTGGGGGCCTGGGGGTTTTAGGATTCAGGGGGTTTAGGGTTTAGTGCCCAAGTACGTTCTGGAAGAGTTATGTGTTGGCATTTGTAGGGTTTAGTATAGTTCGCAACACGGATGATGCTCAGACCTCTACATTTTCTTGGATTCGTGGTTTCTACCCTAAACCCTAAACCCTAAACCCTAAACCCTAAGCCCTAAGCCCTAAACCCTAAACCCTAAGCCCTAAACCGTCCAGGGTCCAGGGTTCCACGCCTTTGATTTGGACTTCAGAGGTTTGGTTTGAGGCGGAGGCACACTTACGGGATTTGTGAGGATTTGTGTAGCACCGTCAATAGAGGGTTCAGGGGTTTAGAGGTTTAGGGTTTATGAGGTTTGGCGTTGATGGGTTTTGAGAATTGGTCCGTGCCGACTCGTCGATTAAACTCGTTCACGTGTTTGTGCGCATCGCGCTTCTTGGCAATATTGTTGAGTGTGCGTTCGTGATGTCGTCCTCTCTGGATACCACATAGAGAAAAGAATCACTGCAACCTCCTTTGACCGTAAATTCTGAGCCAAACCCTTGAGGTTCACGGAAGCAGCCGAGGCCATCAGACAGGTGATCTGGGCCATGCTCGTTTAATAGTTGCCTAAGAGTCCTAGAACGTAAGGATCCCTTCTATGTAAGGACCCTTCTGCAGCCTAAGGATATACTGCATGGATACATGGATCCTGAGGGCAACACTTTGCATGATGTAAAAGTAGCAAGGCTGCTGCTTCGAACAAAAACTTTATTCCCGAACAGCCTGCAAGCCGGTTGTCAAGCCTCTCGAGCCTTCAAACGTGAGTCCCGAGGGTGCACTACGGGTTTGGAGCGGTCGGTTCACGCCAAGTCCCTAAGGCTCCATGTACCCATATAGTTCATACTTAGGCCTTAAAGTACCTATTGTACCTATAGGGACCCCTTTGAGGCTTAAGTATCTACTATAGTGATACATGGAGCCTTTGGGAGTCCGAAGATGTTCCCAGGATGCCAGTTCGCTCACAACAAGCACCCCACGAAGAAGGACCGAACCGTAGACCCTAAGCAAGGTGGATTGAGGTTGCCATATAGCTAGAAGGCATGTGCGGGATGGGGTCTCGGGTTATGTACGCTGTATGTAGTACTGGTACCTAGCTTAAGCTGTTTTGATTTTGTGGAACCCCTGAATGATTGCACAAACCCTCAAGCCTTGTATAGACCTTAGACCCCGTTTAGCTAGATCCTAACCTGGAACCCTAAACCTTTTAAGCCCGAAACCTAAACCAAGACCCTATGTAAACCCTTATAAACTCAAACCCCTGCGGCTAAACCTAAACCCTATAACCCAGTAGTAGAGTGGGTAACTTTCAACTTTTTTGGGGTCGTATAGCCCCTATACCCTAGCCCTCCAGAGACCCTAGGAACCAAGGCTTTCACGATAAGACCGCGGATCCCCAAAACAGCCCCACCCTCTCACGCATTGGGGTGTGTTAGTGCTTTTTCGTCCCCACTATTAAACCAAAAAAACCATAAAGCTGAAGCCCTAAACACCTGGATTCCGGAATTGGGGATCGTGGTTTCAGGTCTGTTGAGTGCAAGCTTGGTTTTGGCGTCCTCGTAAACGCCTTTAGGGTTCAAAATCGGGCTAGCCTTTGTCAGGAGCGTTAAAGTGTGGCTTTGTCCGGGCTCGGGGCCTTTACTTTCAAGCTCGGCCTTTGGGTTTAGGGTTTGGGGGTTCAAGCTCGGCTTTAGGGCTTCAAGTTCGGATGTTTGTGTTTGGGGGTGGCACGGAGTTGCTTGTCAGCTTTGCAGGGGTTTGGGGATAGTTTACACTAGTTGTTGGGATAAATTAGCAGTTGACTGGTGGCTTTGGAATGGCCCGCGAGAGGCTTCCAGTGCAGATGAGCCCATATGAGCCCATGTAGGAACCCAAAGCCTCGAAAGATCCTTCTCGAAAATCCCCACCCAATTCAACTGCAATCCTCGCAAGAACCTTCCTGAATACTACTGGGTTGGAGCAGGCTTCACGGCGATGCAGCGCTGAAAACTTTTCCCGCGCTTCTTTCATTGTCTCGGTCGGCCCTGCACTTCGCTGTGTCTCTTGCAAGGAGTGTCGCTTTTCGTCTCTTCATACTTTCGAATCGTGTGCGGTTCATCTTCATCAGGGCCACCTCGAAATTTGCCGGATTCGCTTTCCGAGCTAAGCCTTTCACCCATCGCATAGCATCTTCATCCGTGTAGCAATGGTGGTAGCGCGAATTTTGTCCTGGGCTGCTCATTGAAACCCTGTGTCGCTTGATTGAAGTACAGCGTCGCAAAACTAATTGTCCAAGCAGCTTGTCCGTTTTGTCTCCAACAGCTGATGTTCGAACGTATGCAATTTCGGTTTGAGGGCCCAGGTGAGCTCGCCTTGCCTGTCAGGGACAGTATGCATGCAAAAACAATAGGACTGCGAAATTGAATTTCTTATGTATCCGCCTGCATGAAGTTCTAGTCAATTGCAGGTGCGTGGTGACGAATAGCATGCCTTCATCATAGATGGCGTCGGCTTCTTCTTGTGAAAGGAAGCGGGAGCATCGTTCTGTCAATCCAAACCATCGTGCCATTGCCGTCCTGTCAATATTCGTACAAAACTGTCCAAAACCAGAAAAGCTTCGTCTCTTTTTGTATGTATTGAGAAACTCAGAAGATATGCGGCCGAGTTTCATTGCAACAGCTTGCAATGGAATCTTTTCATCGTTCGGATAGGCCCGACGTCCAGCCCGAACTTCTCCATCCAGCCAGATCCCAAAAGTGCGCTTCCTCCCCGTCGCCACGGAACGCGTGGCCGCCAATCTAGAAACGTGAGCCAAGTACTCCAAGACAATACGACCATTGAAGGCTTTGCAGCTCATCGCAGGAATCCGGAGGGTTCCGGATTTTTTCATTACCTGATCGCATCCAAAACACAAAACAAATAAGACATATCTGGTTCTTAATTTACCAAAAACTACCTAAGCTTAAACTGCCTAAATGCATCCCTGAAATATCCATAGCAAAGACTCCAGGCCATACTTGAAGTTGCGCTGGTATGAATAAATCTGTCTTTCCTTTGCCCAGGCCCTAAAGTCTGCATGAGCTCTGTTAAACAGAATTTGCAATTCCAGATCGGGATCTCCATAAAATCCCGACTTTGCCAGGGTGTACCTCAACTATTAATGCCACATATTTGTTTTCGACACTCATGACAAAGTGACTCAAAACTGATCTATGCATGCCACGACACAACGAGCTTCCGTTTGCTGTGAACAACAGGCCGAGGTTGACATTGTGCATCGAGCAGGTACGAAGGACGTCGATGCTGAAATTGGGGAGTAGAATCAAGGGACCTGAGGTAGGACAAAGTTGAATGGCTTCAAAAGGTCGTGGTACTTTTGAAGCAAGATACAAAGACAGTTCAAGTCCAACTTTGCCAGGAGCCATTCCAAGGTATCTCGGAATATTGTAGTTCGCCACAAGGCTCTCTCCCCAACGTGGTCGTAGTATAAGGATCTTCTGCTTCCAGTGCCAACGGCTTCGCAAAAGAAACAAACCCTAGTTGACGACCACCCATCTTCGAAGCCCCAGATCAACTTGTGCCAAGCCAAATCACCCCGAAGCTCTGTCACCAGAAATTTCGCACCCAAGCTTTGACCAGCCTGCATTTCGTGTTTCTCAGATAAAGAGCTGCCCATGAAACCTGCTGTGCGGAACATGCCTTTGCTTGCCCATCCCATAGACCATACAATTCTGTGAAAAAGTGGATACAATGTTTCTGTGCCAGGCAGCAAGAATTTGGAGCGGATGGTGCAAAGCAAGAAACGACTGAGTCGAATATTCTTTGGTCTGAACAGCACCAAATTCAAAAACACGGCCAATACTTTCTCCTGAGACTCATGTAACCCATACTTGGTTTCGTCAGCATAGATCCCAACAGGGATCACATCGTCATCTGGTTGATCGGTTGCCCAACTCGCTCCGTTCTCAGCAGCTCGCCGCCAATAGCTACGAACAGATTCGTCATGAACAGTCAGCTTCACCACAGAGTGTACATAGTGCAAAACTTCATGAGGATACAGCAGTGGGATTTGCATAGACCCTTTTTTGATTTCGGCTTCGGGATCATCGTTGTCCAGCTTTACCGGAACGGTAACCATCGTTGGTTCCTGCAAACATGATGTGTTATTCCCCGATATTAAACACTAAGACTTTATACATGACACAAAAACTTCGATTGAAACATTTGCTGGATCCTGACAGCTAAGCAGCCATGGGCAGGGGAACCACTCTGTAAAAATCTCTCGAGGAATTCTTCTCGCTGCTAAACTTTGCCAGCCTTTTGGTTCTCTCGGAACAGTGCCCTTTGCTTTCCTGGTCGAGCTACATGCTGTCAAACCTCCTAAACTTTGCTTGGGGCACAGAAACGAAAAACTATAAGTTCAGGCAAGGAGCTTTTGCAGTATTCACCGCACTTTCCATTGCCATGCGGGCACTTTCTCCCTGCAGCAAGGAATACCAAAGAGCCGGAACCCAAAGAGCCGGAATCGATTTGCAAAGAAGAACCCGCTCGGGAAATAGTTAAGTAGTTGCCGAGGCTCTCGATCACCGATTCTTTCCAGTAATTCCTGCACCGTTGCGTTCTGCTCATTGTCCTGGTCCTCATCTTCTTCACCTCCAAACAGCAAGATTCTAAAGCATAGTATGATGACATGATATCGAGTGGCAGCTCTAGCCGCAGAAATAGTTTTTTTGCACCACCGCCGCGTGTTGCTGCATCGCGACTGTGAAACACTGCTCCGATTCCGCACCTAGGGAAAGGAAGTCTCCCTTGTCACAGCTGCACACAGCATGCACCGGGCGAGGCCTTTATGCAGGATTTCCCACATGTCTCGGTAGCGCCTTTGCTTGAAATCATGAACTAGTTCGCAAGCATGCCCCTGCTTGGGTCAAAATCAGCGTCGCGAAGGGCCCCAGTTGCCCAGCACATATCTGTCTAAGATTCTAAACACCGCAGGCTACACCCGACAGACCTTATGAGACCTAGATCCTGGAACCAGAAGTAGCCCACTAGCTTAAGACTAGTCATGGAGCAGCATGGCATCGCTGGGTCTTCACTTTGCGGAGGCCTTGGCCTTAGCCTTGGGCTTTGCCTGGCCTTTGATCACAGTAGCAGCCTGCTCGAAACCAGCGATTGCTGAGCCCAAACTCGTAGTCAATCGGCTGACCGTCTCGCTGTTCTCCTGTAACCGAACATTGAACTGTAGTTCGGCTTCCACCCACTCCGACATTCCACCCTACGTAAAGGTTCCAGCCTTGGTGTCCAAAGCGGCCTGGAGCTCGGAATGAGCAGCCTTCAGCTGCACATCGGCTTCCTGCATTGAGGGGTTTGGTTTTCGGTTGGCACATAGGGTTGGTTTGTTACGGACTCCCCGCAAAGTTGGTAGGCCCGAGACTAAATCTAAAGCATGCCATTTGGCTGGGTTTGGAAATATCATTCATTGGGCTAGTATTTTGGTTGATATTCTGATGCTTCTACTCCAGAGCCACGGCCTGCTTGAGTTGAAGCCTCTGGACTCGGGTTGTCTAAGATCTCTTAGCACTAGACACTAGAAGGAATAATGACATACTGGCATTCACGAAGATAGGTTTCTGCTTAAGTAGGGATTTAGATTCTTTTGATTCTTGGGCGCTACGCATTGTTGGTGTTGCCGACTTAGAGCCTAGGGTTCTTTGGGGATGCAGGCTTCAATAATTTTGTTTGTGAAAGCAGGAGCCCTCATCATTTTTGTTTGCACTTCGCAACTCGGAGGGGTCAAGGCATAATTGCTGAGGGTTGACAAAGGAGTTAGCTCATGCAAGAGTCCTCATGCTCTCAACACGGGCAATAGTCACACTTCCTCGTCGTGAATCCCAATAGTCACACTTCCTCGTCGTGAATCCCAGCCCCCCAAAACATCCCAAACCTAACCCCAAAATCTCCAAAATAGGATTCATTATTGTTTCCAATCTCAAACACAGATAAGCCCACATCCCATAACGTCCCCGGCCGTACCTTCAAATCATTCTCGGCAGCAGTGCGGAGATGCTGGGCCCTGGGAGCACGTGAAAGACAATCGAAGGTTTGCTTTGTATGGGATCAAAACTGAAGCATCCGAAGCTTTGGTTTGCGTGAGATTACGACTGAAACCCAAAACCCAAAACTGCATGAAGCTATGCATGGATTCTAGATATTCGATTGAGCCCCGCGCATCTTAGCAGCCGAACCATCGAGGGCAACTTTCTCCTGGATCTTCTTGCCAGCCTTTGTAATGGCCTGAGGTGTGGCGGTGCATGAAAGGAAATCCCTATGATATACACGTCGCTGGCCCAGATGCGTTGGCTAAGAGCACCACAGACTTTGCTTTAGAAACAGCTTCTTTCAGCTCCTTCTCCTCTCCTCCTTCTTTCGTCTTCTTCTCTTTGCGGTTCTTGTTCTTCTTGCTCTTGGTTTTCTTCTTCTTGTTTTTTTCCCCTAACAAGACGGATGCATGGAATCTGGTATTCTAGTTTTATTTGGTTCTTAGGCAAATAGGAAACTTTAAATAGAAGTGCAAACTCTTGCGCTGGGTGGCCGGAGATTTGGCATCTGACTTTCCCTCCCTCTTATCCTTCTTCTTTTTCTTCTTCTTGCTGCTACTGTCGTCGTCGGATGACATGCTGCTTTGGGAGTCCTCCTCTTCTGCCAACTTGTACAGCATCTCCATGACCTCCTCCTCCTGCTCGATCTCCTCCTCGCTGTCAAAGATGAGAAACTGCATCATGTCCAGCGACTCCGGAAGATCCGGATGCTTTTTCACCTCCGTATCACGAAGCTTCTCATCATTCAGTTTCCTGACAATGATTGCCTCCGCATTCTCCACCCCGAACTTTGCTTCGATATCGGTCCGAAGCATCCATTTCCGTACTCCCTTTCGTTTGCTTATGTTCTTTGTCTTGCAGTTGATGTACAGTTGGCTCTGCTTCCAGTTGCCGCCACAGTTGAGCCATGCTTCGAACATCACACTGTTCTTCTCGGAATCTGAGGGCATGATGGGAGTGTGCGCACGATGTGCATGCAGTCTACAAGCAGCATATTGAAAGCTCTAGGACTCTAGGTGCACTACCGGACCTCCAGCATGCAATCCATTTTGATTCGAGGTGGGAACAGCTCGATACCAAGCAGCCCGAGACAGACTTCAAGGCTGGAACTACCGAGATTCAGACCAAGTAGCCTCCTTTGGCACCAGCACCCATCTTTCGAATCTCCGGCGGCGTTTTTTTGCATTCTTAGCCCACATGCCATGCAGAGCAGAATCGAACTATGCATTCTCGCTTTCTCTCTCTCTCTCTCTCTCTCTCTCTCTCTCTCTCTCACTCTCTTTCTCTCTCTACTATTATAAAGAATCTGAGATCGCCGCCATGCACAGACCGAAAGTAGCGCATGTACCTTGCGTGTGCTTTTTTCTTTCTTTCTGCAGCAGCGGCCGCTTTCTTGGCAGCTTTGCCTTCTTCGGTCTCGTCTTCCTGCTTGCCTTTGTCGGTATCCTTCTGATCTGCGGTTGTCTTCTCGGTGCCGTCTGGTTGCTTCTGCTCTGACTGTTCTTTGGAAACTTTGGTCTTATCTTGAGGCTTCTCCGAAGCATCTTGGGGTGCTTTCTCAGGAGCTGGGGAACTCTGCTGGGAAGAAGAGGGAGACGGCGAACCTTGGGGCGTGGCCGTGGTGGGCGTCGGAATACCTGACTTGTCTGGCGACTTTGCCGCCTCAAACTTTTTCTCTAAGTTCGCAGCTACCTTTGCAAGGTCTTTGTCATGGGTCCGGTCGATGGTGTTGAGCCGTTGAAACCCAGCTATCAGCTCCGACTGGAGGCTAGATGAGCTCTTATAAGATTCCTGGGACCAAGCTCTGTGCCAAGCTTGGGGAGAAGCTTGGGCGTCGGACAGGGAATCGATGCTGCTGTGCCGTCGCCGCCAAGACAGATGATCCTCAGACAAATCCTTGTAATTCCAATCGTGCTGACTGGAATCCCAGCCCCCGCCCCAAGACCACTGACTCCAACGATTGTTTCCCCAAGAATCCCAAGATGTCGCATTAGCCCAGGAGTCCGGCCAGCTTGAGCCGGCATTGGGGTCCTTGGGTTTGTTTCCTTCCTGCTGTTCCTGCGGAATCTCTCCTTGCTGCGTTGCTTTGGGGTCTGGTACAGCATCTGGCTTGGAAGCTTCCAGGGCAGAGGGTTCTGGGGCCTCCTTCATATTTTCAGCCTTCGGCTTTTCACACATAAGCGGGGTTCCGTGGCCTCTGCCTTTGCCGATGATGCTTGTTGTGTCCTTTGGGGCAGTTGCCTGGGGCTGCTCTCCTTCGGAATTTGGCTGGGTAGCCTGGCACAACACATGTAAGTGTTTTAATGGGGGCTAGATAGGCTTCATGTGTTACTGAGCCTGTAAGCATGACTACGTGCAGGATCTGTTGTGCGGCTTCGCAGAACATCAAGGCCGGCCTGCATCAATGACTCGTCGATCTGGGTCTCTTGGGTGTCGGGGTTCGGCCTGGGCCAAACAAAGATCGGGAGAGTAGGGTCTAGCGTTTAACTTCTTGACTTGTGTAAGTGTAGAGGGTTTGTGGGTTCAGGGGTTTGGACTTTCACTTTCCTAGGCACCTTTATATGTCGGGGTCTCCTATCTTATTAACATGTGGTTCCTCAAAAGAAGAACAAGATAGACTTTGGAAGAACAAACAGTATCTAGTCAATCGCAAGTCATTCGTATTTCTGAACCGATTAAAAGCGATGAGATCATGATAAGGCTCCAGCACAGGAGACTCCTTGGTCTCCATCATCTTCCTAATTTTTGCCTGCCGTTGCTTCGCCTTGGCTACGGCCTCATCCACGACACGTTTACTTGTCGGCATGCCCCCTAAGGCAATGCCTTCCTGGAAGGCAAAATGCCAAAATGATCTTTGAGCTCAAACGGCCCTTCAGAAATATGTCGCAAAGATGGATACACCTGCTCATCGGATCGATGGGGAACATGGGGTTTTAGGGACACCAGGATTCACGCTGCATTCACGAGGATCCGGGGACTTCTCACGAGGATCCGGGGACTTTCACGCAAACTTCACGCTACTTCACGCGTAAGGGTTTTTGCGGCTTCGCACACATACTCCGTTCTATCTCGAATTTACAGCACAAGTCAAGCTATTCCCCAGCCAAAGCCTGACTTCAAGCCGAACATATCGTCTTTAGCTCCTAGTAACAGTATTGATCTAATGAATTAGAAGAACTACACGTCAAATGGCCAGTGGGACATCGCATTCAGGTCTGTTCAAAAAGCCCAGATCGGAACTTTGGCCGAAAAGACCCATCCTCTACCCTAGCCACCAGAAACTTTCTCAGCTCTTCCAGATCGGCCCACGACCAGTCGTGCGTGGGACGGCTGGCCTGGCAGGCAGGGCTTCATCAATTTACTTAGGCTTTGGGGTTTATGTGATTAGGTTCTGGAAACTTTAAGGTTCAGGTTCTGTCTAAGTAGGGATTGAGGATTTAGGGCTTCGGTTGTAGATTCGGGGCGTACAAATCCAAGGTGTAGGCCCTATTTGAAACTTCGGTGATTAGGATCGGAGGCCTGCAACTTCTTCGACTTCGCCGCATCCCACAGAGCACTTGAAGTTGTCGCGCGCAACCAGAGCTTACGCCTCTCCTGCATGCAAACTATGAACGATTCGGATCTTCAAGTGCACCGTTACGATCTTATACTACGACTGGTCCTTGAATGCAGTGTGCTCTATCAAGATCTTCTTGGCATACCCACGTGGATATACTTGAGACACCTTCAGCTTCTCCCCGCCATACCTTAGCTAGGCAACGATTGGGAGACATGTTAGGGAAGCAAGCGACCTTCAAAAGCTTGAAACTCAGCGCTGAAACGATCGAGTCCCCTACACTTTCTCCTCACCCTGCGCATTCTTCTTTCTCATAACCACACCCAGAGAGGAGAGATGAAGAGCTTTTCGTCTCTTCTTCGTGAGCTTTTTGTATAATCTCTTTGCCCAGGGCCTGATAGTATCAACACATCGAAAAGTCTGCGTATCGAACAGCCCAGAGATCCTCAATCTCAATATCTCGATTCTTGCAAGGCCCTGGCACGATGGCGAAAGCCCGGCTCGGCTTCGACGCAAAGTGCCCCCACGTGGCCATCCAACTCGGTCGTCAGCAGGGGGGCTGAAGTTAAGGCAGTTGGGGTTCCAGTGTTTTGGTAAACTACTAGTTGATTCTACTAAGTAGTACTGGCCTATCTACATACAGTGAATGATGAAGTGTGGAACTGGGACCTATCGGAGTCAGCATGTAGTTCCTGACAAGTGGAGGAAGAACTACATGTACATTATTTGGAATTGCGTTGATTCATTTGGGGTCAGGCTAGCTCGGGATTTCTTTTGGGCTGGTTATGGAGGGCTTGCTTTTTCAAAGTTGCATAGAGGGTTTAGGGTGTAATTGGGTTGCAATACACAAGAGTATGATCTGACTGGGAAATCATTTAAACGTTTGTAGAGCCACTATTACACTTATTGCCTAGTTTGATGCATGCTGGAGTACACAGTCGAACATCGAGATCGGTATAATGTAGAATTGAAGGAGGGACGTAGAGAACGCGACTTAGGCTGTGGCAAAGCTTGGTCCCGATAGCGAACACCCAAATCTGTCATCATTTTGACCAGATAGATCCAATCTGGATGAACCGGAAGCTGGGACGATCGTGGCTGCTCCACCAGCCAATACACAGCTCTAGCTGTTGCCAGCATAAGTAATAGGACCGTACGCGTCGTCAGCCTGAGTGCAGAGGCCGAGTTCTATTGATGTTCAGGAGAAACAATCGGCTGCATGCAATTGACTAATGCATTTCGAAAGGCGCATTGGCTTCGAAAACATATTTGAGGGTGCAGTCTCCCAAAGGTCGTTCTGCGCACCGTTGATGGGTTCCTTTGTTCATCCATACATATGACGTGCAGGGTAGGCCTGCCGACATTAGGCCATCTTCTTCGAGACGTAGAACCAGACGAATCGCCATCAGGAATCCTGTCCTGGAGCTGTCGGAAGCTTCTTAATGATCATTACTGGGTCTGCGTATGACATACCTAAACGACCAAGGCTTGAGGCAGCCTAGAGGCACACTCAGCAGATCGTTGTCTTTTGGCCGGGATACGATATCGTAGTAGGCACTGACAACGGGACATAGACACTTGTTTGATTGGCACATTGCACTACTAGCACCCTGGCCTTCTTTGATTGGCGGAACCTCAAGAGATTGCCGGCAGATTGCTACACAACAAACAACAGGAAGTCTCAAGATCCCGGCAGAAGGCCTTATACAGATTTCCCTGTCCCGCGAAGCAGTCCAGCAACTTTAAGTCCTGGTGAGGGAGATATTTCTGCAGCGAACATGCGAGGTATTGATTCAAGGCCCTGGCTCTTTTGGCCAAAGGCGAGTCGGCCGGTGTTATCTGGGTCATAAAGTCGCAGGCATGGATCCTGAGCGGAGTCAGGTCTGGAATTGATGGTTCTGTCAGTTATGTTATCTCAGATAGGACTGGAGGTTTCGAGTTCAATTGTTTTGGTTTTCGAAGCTACAATGCCTTTAAGTCTCCCTAGGATTGAGGAGCTTTAATTATTTTAATTTATACTGATTAGGGTGTTAGGTGCTGGGAAGTCAATATTGAAATTAAGTTTTCTGGGGTTTGGGGTTTAGGGCTTAGGACGACTAGGGTTCGGAGTCGAGGGAAATTAAAGGCACGCAGTGATTCGGCCAACCAGCATCCTGACAAATTGAAATCTTAGGTCCCAGCAGAACCAAGGGCACACCCATCAGCCACAAGAGCTGAGATGTAGATGGGGAAAGAGCCAGCGCAGATGCATCTCCTCCTTTGCCCCTCATGATCCTATTTTGAGCACCTGGAGACTATTGAGGTCCCAGCCCGACATACTAAATGCTGCCAAGTGAGCTACGTTGAGTTGCAAGGTTTTGTGACCGCGGGCTTGGATACGAAAGCTACTCGGTTTTCTCAAGTTCAGCTAGAAGGTTTATTGCCCACTGGGTTATACCAATATGAACACATACTGTGAATACAGCGTCTGCCTGGATGAGCCAGTAGCAAGTTCAGCGCAAAGGATTTGTTGCTAATCTGGCCCGTGTCTGCAACGATCTCTTGCATGCAGAGTGCATGCGTGCAGGCATCACTTGCAAAGCCATTGTGTTTTCCAGGCCTCAAAATCACGGCGATGGTTGCCGTGGCTTGCGTCTGCTTCTCAGAACGTTTGCATGAGGATGCTCAGTCCTCTTCGATTGGGATCCATCCGGCGATCATTCGGGCCGCTCTGTACCTGACGCCAGGAATCATATGCACTAAAAGACAGGCAAAGGGTTCACGAATCGAAGTTTCAAAGCTAGGCCGCAGGCGCTCCGATAATATTGTTGTTCCAATGGATGTTAACCCCGTGGCAAGCATTGACCTGAACATCAAAAGATCAGCAGGTTAGCTTGGCAGGATATGAGCAATCAGCCTTGTGGTTCAAGTTGTGCTTCTCGTTCACTTTCTTGAGACGAGACTCGCTGACCTGGTAGATGTAGAATTTACCTGACAGCTGCACTTGAAGGCTGCTCGGTGCCGCTGCATCGGTCTTCTTCGGTGCCCTCATTGTCCAGCCGGACACTTGGTCCAGGATTTTACGGGACGGATGCACGAGTTGCTTCACAGCTTTCTTAAGCATCGCAACCTGCACCAGACTTTGAGGTTTCTGGTCCTGCCATATGCACATAAGAAGAGCATTAGCGTATCCCCCTCACATGTAGATGACACAAATCATATGCAGACATAACCCTCCCCTAGCCTCCGACAGAACCTTCTTCTCCGACTTTCCACTCTTGGCCCTTACCTTTTGGCTGTGAGGCGACAGCATAGGCATTTCGTCAGAAGAATGTTCTGGGTCTTCCTCACGGGACAAATGGAAAAGCAGCTAAGCATTGGAATACCTGATTGTGACGTCCTTAAGCACACAATGCAGAAATTTGATTCTTACTCTTACTATCAGAAGCAAACTTGAGTCCTTGTGGTCATCATCCGTGGAAACCTTGTCAGCTGCACAATCTGTCGCCTCATCATCGTCATCATTCTCTTGGCTGCTTGAGGAAGATGCATCACTCTCCGACGGGATAGCAGCTTTGCCTTTCCTGGGGGGTGGCTTTGGGGCTTTCTTATCCATCTTCGGGTCCTTCTGCTTTGGGTCACTCTGCTTCGGGTCCTTCTGCTTCGGGTCAATCTGCTGCGGGTCCTTCTGCTTTGGGTCACTCTGCTTCTGGTCCTTCTGCTTTGGGTCACTCTGCTTTGGGTCCTTCTGCGTTGGGTCACTCTGCTTTGGGTCCTTCTGCTTTGGGTCACTCTGTCTTGGGTCCTTCTTCTTCGGGTCACTCTGTCTTGGGTCCTTCTTCTTCGGGTCTTTGTTCTTTGGGGCCTTCTTGGGGGCTTCCTCAGGGCTTTCCTTCGAACTGTCTTCTGCAGGATCATCGCGGAAGAACTCCAGCATCTCCTGGTCATAAACCTGCTTGGCAGCTTGCACATCTTCTGGGGTCATTCTTGGCTTACTTTTAGCTTTGCCTTTAGCTTTGGCCTTTGCTTTACCTTTGGCTTTTGCTTTTGCTTTGACCCGCCGTGGCTGATTCAGGTCCTCTGAATCCTCATCTTTCTTTTCTTCGTCTTCCGAATCATGGGCTTCGGCTTTTTGAGCAGCCCTGACCATCTTGCGCACTGCTTTCTGGGCCTGAATAGGGAAGCAACTAGAAGAATTAATCTTGTAATCTGGAAAAATCACACAGAATTTAGATCGCCTGCAAAAGACTTTCGTCTTCAACATCATCCTCCGCTTTCCTCTTTGCCCTTGTCTCTTCTAAACATGCTAGGAAGATGGCAGCTTGCTCCGACAAGTCAAACGACTCGGGCAAGTCAGTCAAGGGCTTTCGGTCCTGGATCAGAAAGTAATATCTGGATCAATGAACAACACGAAATACATATGTAGCATGCAACTATCTGAAGGAGAGCCCCGCCGGGAAAGCCCCCACGGATTTCTGGGCTTTGCTCTCGTCTTTCAAAGCTTTCTGTCTCTTTGCATCTGAAGCTGCAGCCTCCATTTCTTCCTTAGAAGCCTCCGGCGGCATCGAGTCGTCGCCACGGCGATTGCGCGTGGCGAAATCCTTATCGGGAAACTTTCTCTTTGGCTCTTCACTTCGGCTCCTCGAGCTTTTCTCATTCTTCTTTGTCGGCTTCTCATCTTTGTCTATCTTCTTCTTTCTCTTCTCCAACTTCTCTTCTTCTGTCTTGTTCTTGGGGAGATCTTCCTTTTCTTCTTTCTCCTCCTTGGTTTTCTTTACCTTAGTATCCTTTTCCTGCTTGTCCTCAAGGCTTCCTTCGTCCTTGCTTCCTTTGGATGGTTTCCCACTCTTCTCTTTCTGCGCTGTCTTTACCTCTTTTGTCTTCGGAGTTGTCTGCTTCTTCTCAGTCTTTTTATCTTTGGCTTCGCTGGCATTGGCTTTGCTGCTCTTATCCTCATTCTTCTCCTCCTCCGTTCTCTGCGCATCTGCCTTCTTCTCCTCCTCTTTGATCGGACCCTTTTTCTCACCTTTCTCATTTTCTTTCCTTTCGCTTTCCTCCTCCTTTGCCTGTTCCTCTTTTGTGGGCTCCTTCATCGCATGGTTGTTTTCATCTCTCTCTCCCTGCTTGCTTGTGTTCTCCTCCTCCTCTTCCGTGTCGGAGCTCTCTTCCTCAGCCTGGCTTTCAGCCTGATCTTTCTCCCCTCCATCGGATACCTCTGGATCATCTTCCATCTCCTCTTCCTCCATACCTTCCTGGACATCATCATGATCCTCTTGTCCTTCCTGCTGAAGCTTCGCCTTTACGGGAGAAGAATCATATCAAGAAACCAAGGAGTTGACTCTGGCGTTGACCTGGCCTTGTGCTCCAACACAATGTCTTTCAAAATCGTCATGTTGGGCAGGTTTCTCCTAGGAAGGAACATCAATAAGTTCTCGTTTTGGAATCTATTTATGTTTCTCTCCCGCCCTCCCTCCTTGTCGTTGTCTCTCCCCTCTCTCTCTCTCTTACTGTCTCTTTCTCAATACATACACTGAGAAACCAACAGAAAACCCCTACCCCAAGAAACCCAAAGACCCCATGCTGTGGACCTCGTTTTGCGAGCCTTTCTGCTTCGCAACCTGACGTAACTCACCAGTTCGCGCTGAACTTTGCTTTCTTCTTCAGCCCAGGCCTGCCAGAAGATCCGAAACATACATTAGAATAGTTTGCAAAATCACATAATAGAAGTTCGCCTGCCGCTGGTACTTGTGCTTGCACTTCTTCACCAACGGCTTTTTCTCTGCTACAAAGACCAAAGCAGCCTGGCAAATCCAAAATGTCACTCGATCCTGAGAAAAGGCAAAAGCAGGAACAAACATGGAAGCTAGACCACCATCTCCCTGTAAGTAGGGTAGTTCTCCAAGAACGTCGCCAGAAAGTTGAGGAGAAATTCGAAGTTGTCGGCCCCGTGCGGGGCTTCTGCCTGAAAGAATACAATTATAATTAGCTTGTGAGCTAAAGATTGAAACGTATCAGGGCCCCACAATATCGACCGTGATTCCTTTGTCTGGCACGTCGACAAAGGAGAAATCACAGGGGGCCTCATCAGACGAATCGAGGAACATATTTCTCAAAGAAGCTCCGTGAATGCCTGCCTTCTCGTTCGCAAGCTTCTTCGTAGCTTTCTTCTCAGATATGCCATGATCATCGGCAAGCTTGATGAACCTGAAAATTTTGGAGCTTTCAAATATTCGAAGATAACTAATTCTAAGATGGATGGGCGAACCTCTTCGTCATCATATTCATGTACTCCAGCTGCTCCTGATAGAAGACCTGAATGCTTTGGGAACATTCTGAAATCAATTCCTTCGAAAGAAATGATCCCTGGCCTTCAAGGTTTCGACCCTTTTGAAGTCCAACGGCACTTGCGGCATGGCTGCCGGTGAGGGCGGAGAACAGCTGGGCAGCAATTTATGTAACCCGCAAATTTAATTTCGACCGATAAGGAAATGATCCCCAGCATCAGTCCTAGATTGTAGATATCCAAGAAATGTCTTGTTCTGACCGAGAATATGGGCAGCGTAGGAAGGACTCCCTCAAGTCCCCCAGTCCACACCCTCTGCTGAGCCCAGCTACTGCAACCATGAAAGCGGTAGGCGATAGATCTCAGAATCTCTGGAACATATTGCACAGGGCAAGCAATCGTGGCCTGATGAAGTCTCGCAAAGGCATTTCTTTCGTTTGCATGTACCTGGAAACATCGCTCATGAGGCTTAGGATCTTAGGGCTCTTAATTCTTAGGGCAAGGGTTGGGTTCACTAATTGTATGGCGCACGTTGCGATCGCTTCCAAGCTGCGCGGAGCATGAGGAAAAGACATGGCTTGCACGCTGGGGCAGGCTCAGGATTGAATGGCACATGATATGTGCACTTTCGTAGGTTCGGGGCGGGCTAGGGATTAAATAGCAAACTATCTTCGAATACCAAAGGCTTCATTCTCATACTGCGAATCAAATAAGACTCCAAGAATACGAGATTTTCCTGATTAGGATCGCGACATCGCATGTTGCGAAGCTGCATAAGCCACGGTCGAACGAGTCAGAATCGACCTGGCCGAAAAGCGAGGTCTTTCACGCTAATCACGGGGGAATGGGGGTCTAGATCTGAGACCGTGGATCCCAAGGTCTTTGGAAGACCAGGGTATATAACCCCTATATAAACAAAAAGGTTAAGCTTTAGTTCCCCTTGACCTAAACCCTATACCAGGATGCCCAGTGGTACCCTTATTCCCTTTTTGTAGTCTTAGATTCCTTATGAAGGCACTCAATACCAAAAAGGGATCCCTTTTTTTATTCTTAGGTTGCTGGGCATCCTAGTATAAGCCCGTCCCCAACAGGAAGCCATGATCGGCCGGCCACGTAAGCAACTCCGGGACAAGCAGAAAACCCAGGCCTATCCCGGGGTGTAAGGTTTGGGGTTTAAGGGTTTAGGAGTGTAGTTACTAGATCCATGATCCTTTAAGTAACCCTAAAACCCTCTTATAGAGCCCTTATAGATCCCTTTTTAGGAACCCTAGTTGTAGCGGAGTTTAGGTTGAAGGGTTTAAGGTTTCAGGTTTAGGGGCTCATGGTTCACTTTTTGGGGTTTCGGGTTTATGACTCAATTAGGGTAATATTAGGGTTTAAGGTTTCCAGATGAGCAGTTTAAAGTTAAAGCGAATCTCTAGTAACAGTGTACAGATCCATGTGCTAGTATTGTAGATATTTCTACCTGAACCAGGACTTCGCAATGGCCCTTGAATAGAGCCTATGGTCCGCAACAGTAGGTGTTCAAGGTATATATATATATATATATTATCGGGAACGGGGGGGGGGTCTAACCAGGTAACTTAGATGGGGGAAGCCACTTGAGGCCCAAGTACTAACCCCAAACCCTACTTAAAGGGTCATGGGACTGAGTAACTAGGGTTTTAGTTAGGGTAACTACACTTATAACTACTTTTAACCCCAGTTCAGGTGCTCATAACCATACTTGCTAAGTCCCATGATCCTCCAAGTAAACCCCTAAACCCTGGTACATTGTGCCCCTGAGCATACTTCACCAGCCCGGGCTGCAAAAATCTTTACTTAGGGGTACTTAGAAATAGTTTTTAATTTTTTTTATTATAATCCCTAAGAAACAGCTAAAAATATAATTTTTGCTAGGGTTCTAAGTTCAGTATAGTTACTCTAGCCCTAAGGGTCCATGTACTCAAACAGGATCGGGCTCCTGCAAGGGTTCCTTTAAGGGTTGTGTAAGGGTTTGGGGTATAAGGGTCCATGTACCCAAATAGTATATGGTAGTTGATCTAAAGCTCCTTGTGGCGAAAGTTACTTTTTTATCCGTGAAGAAGGTCATTCCGGAACGAAGCAATTTAGATCAACAACCATATACTTTGGGGCCAATGTACCTACGCAGTACTTTACGGCCAAAGTCTATACTATTTGGGTACGTGGACCCTTAGGGTACTATACCCCAGCCCTATTCCTATTGTTCGGGCTTCCGCGATGAGCGTGTGGGCTCCGGCTTACGACTTTGCCATTGGATTGAACGGGAATGCCGGAGACAGGAGACCCTGATGAATTGGTGAGCCGGTTACGGTTTAAGCCGTATTGTGTTAAGGGGAAGATGTTGGGGGTTAGGTTTTGGATTGAAAGCTGAGGGTTGCGGGTTTAAACTTGGCGTATAAAGAAACCCGAAACGGCCTCAAGCCACCGTCTTCTCGTCCTCGTCAGCATCGCCAGTGTCTGCAGTAGCATAGTGCTGGCAAGCACGCTTACAACAGCCAGGACATGATCATCCTGAATCATCCCTAAGGGTCCATGTGGTACATACTATTTGGGCACATGGACCCGTAGGGCGTAGGGCTGATGCAGCCCTTTGATGAATAAACCTTTTCCTGCACGGGCCATGCTGCTAGGATTCTTGTCCTCAGCCCACCCTAACCCCTAAACCCTTAAACCCCTAAACCCAAAAACCCTGAACCCCTAAACCCTAAACCCCTAAGCCCTGAACCCCTAAACACTAAACCCCTAAACCCCTAAACCCTAAACCCCTAAACCTGAAGCCCACTTAAATAAGCCCAAGAAGCTCCTCTAGTTTGTAAAAACGTTCAGCACTAAGATTAAATCCC